AGGAAAAGAAAAAAAACCAAAACCACTTTTCAGGCTCTTTCAGCCCAGTCAAGGGTACAAGAGAAAAATAAGGATTGGATTTAATTGGTAAATGTGCACCCACAGGTAGAAGAGAAGGGGAAGAGGAATGTTTGATTTTGGGAGAGCTGAGCACATGGGAAAACCATCTTAACCTCTGGAGAAATACAAGTCAAAGAAAAGCAAAGTGCTGCCTAAACTAATAAGCGTTTTGAAGATTCCAACTCAACATTTTCTTGGCTGCTTTTCTAAAAAAGTCATGGGAAATAAGAATTGTTTGGGCTTCACATTTAGGTGAATCATCTCACCAATTGAATTAGGCTTGTAGAGGGAAGATAAATGACAAAATGAGGGGCTGTATAGATTTTTTTTTTAAAGATGGTTCTCTTCCTGATTCTTTGCTTTCTCATGCCTGGTTTTGTTTTTGTTTTTATTTTAAAAATATTTCAATTTTCTCTTTGTATTATAAAACTCTCTATGCTAGGAATACTAATAAATAAAATTAAAAATATACAAGAATTATCTCCCTCCTTGGATAAATTTTTGGCTTATTGCATTTTTATATGTTCCTCGAGTTCATAATTTTTCCTGCTTGGTGTATGAAAAATTATCAAAGGCAATAAAAATGCAAGGAAGCAGCATCTCCGATTTTCTTAAAAATATCCCAATAAGATAAAAAGTGGAACAAATCCTTAAAATATCTACCCAGCCAGGCTCTTTTCCATTTTTTTTCCCATAAGCACCAGCTGTTTTTTCCATACCAGCACAAAGGACATACTTACAGATTTAGTTTATGGGAGCTTTGTTTATGTACTGGGTAAGGATTAACATGAAATTTTAATTAATATGGCAAAACCAAGTTCAAAGAAGACAGAAAATTTGTAAATCTTGTAAGACCACTAATTCTGGCTGGGCTTTTAGATGCAGAAAATGTGCTGCATGGAATTTTCCATATTAACATTTTTCCTAAGGTTTACACACTGTAATCCTTTCTTCATCACCATTTCACACGGAACCTCCTGATTTAGTAGATTTTTAATTGCGCCCTTGTACTCCCAATATTTGGTGTGTCTTTTTAATATTTCTGTAAACTGAGCATCGCTGATGCCATTTGGATGTTCATTGAGCAGAAAACCTGGGAAAGAGCAGGAACTTAAACCAAGAACTTACTCTTTAGAGCAACTTTTCCCCTGTAAATCCAATGGTATTGATAGGAAAAGAAGGACATGCATATTTTGGTGGAATAAACCAAATGAATATTTAAAATAATCAATACTGATTAATAATAATAAAATATAATATTTATATAAATTATAATAAATAATTATAAGCAATAATTGTTATTTTGAATAATAAATCACTTCAAACTTTGTGGCAGAATAAGGAGCCTTGCAGAGACACGAAGCAGTAAATATTACATATCTTGGCTTTAGCAAGGTTTTTGGAATGGTCAGACACATTCTTGGAGGGGACAAAGCCTCAGAACTGCCTGAGGAGCTCCTCAAGGAACTGTTGATACACTTGTCCAACAAAATGAAAGGACACCAGCAGGGCTTTCCTGTGGCCACTCTTGAACCTGAAGTTTAATAAATCTCTTCTGAGGGTTGAACTTATCAAAGATTCAGGATGAATGATAGCAAGAAGTTCCCAAAAGGTGCTTGGTCAAGCACCAGATCAACTCCAAGTTTTTCCACATTGGATTCTCTGTACATTTTCCCAAGCACAAGTTGGACACTCTGGGGACAAGGGACAGATTCAATCCAGGTCCCTTTTGGCTGATGCAATGCAGCCCCATGATTTCATGCCTTGGAGCAGCATCAGAGCCAAATTTCTCAGAGGGATGGAGAACTGCAAATACAAAAATTCCAGGTGAAAATGGGCTCTTTTCCACCCTGTTTTCACTCCCTCTGACTTTATAGGTGAGCCCAAGGTCTGGTTTAGAGCTCCATCCTTTAAAATATCCCTAAATAATGGCATCCCGAAGCAAGGAAAGCTGTCCTGAGAAAGGGTTCTGTGGAGTGGGGTGGGTTTGCCCCTGTGGCTTCCTCAGTGTTTTCCAGACTCCAAAAAGAGCCAGAGAAATGGAAATAGCAGCTGTTGCTCTAACCTGTGTGACCAAAGCTGTCACACACCAGCTCCCAAGTCGTTTTCCAGGAATTCTGAGCAATCCCTACAGAGACTCCTCTCACCTGCACGATCTGCTAAAGTCTGAGAACCGAGGAGCTGCTGGACAGGGAAAGGTCCTGGAGCATGAACCAAACCTGCAGCTGGGTTCCTGAGGGTGGAATCTATTCCCATCCAGGGACCGATGCAGATGTTCCCAGCTGTGGCAGGAAATGCCCACCCCAGCCCTGGCCCAGGGCTTTCCCTGGCCCTAGAACACAGCGGGGTAAGTCACTAATGCTGAGCTGGGCTCATCACCATCATCATCATCATCACCATCACCATCACCATCATCATCATCCTCAGCACAGAGGAGCTGCAGCACAGCCTCACTTCGATGCTTATTCCCCCATGGAAGGGCTCCTTTCACGTCCCAGGCTGCTGTTTAAACCACCAGACCAATCTGCCAGCCCCTGTTGATTTAAATCTGTCATTAATGAAGGAGGAAGCATTTAGATCTGGTGGCAGGAGAAGAATATTCGGTTTATTTCATCCTGACATAGTTTGTTTTTTTTTTTCTTTCCTCGAGGTTTGGCTCCTTAAGAGGCATTACCAGGGAAGGAAATCTATAACATGAGATTCTTTCTGGAGCTTGTCACTTTTCTGCTGCAAACAGCAGCAGCTTTGTTAAGTTGTACATTCAGCTTCCTCTATTGTAAAGAACATTACTGCGATCAATAAATCTTCTTCTGGGGCCGCAAGTCTGCAAACTGGTTTCTTTGACAACTTAAATACACATCTCATGTCTCCTTCAAGAACGATTCTATGAGTTTTTTGATGAAAACTATAGAAAAGGCACCTGTAAGCCCATTGTTAGTCAAATTAGAACCCTTGAAATATTACTTTCTATTATTCACCATTTTAAAGGAGTTTAATAAGCTGCATTTATCAGACACAACTATATCTTTCAAGGGATGTTAGAGAGACTGTCTCACCATTTTTGTTTCCCAAGCCACAGATAACGTGAGAAGAAAACATACCAAGTTTCTTAGGAAACCTTCCATAGCTAATTCCAAACCAATTATTTTCTATAAAAGTGGTGGTGTAGAGGTTTTATGGTTGCTGTATTTAATTTTTACAGGGCGAGTGTTGATGGCACACAGAGGAAGGGAACATATCCAGGAGACAAAGCAGCACAACAGAAGTTTTAGGGTTTAAATATATGGGCTCTCCCTAAAATTCTGTTACTAAATCCAGGATGTTTACTAAACCATAGAATTATAGAATGGTTTCAGATGGGAAGACCTTAAAGATCATCTGTTCCCAATTCCCTGAAGAGATGCCACCACTAGTGCAGAATCCGTGTTAAAATTTTTAAACAATGTAAACAACTTCTTGCAATTTTAAAATAAACATAAACACTGTCTGCTTTTCTCCTCCCTGCCTACAGAGAACCAGCAGCAATTGTTTTATTTCAGTCCTGCAGAAATATTTACTGGTATTTCTAATTAAAGCATCGTACAAAATTAATCGCCTGTTTAATATTTTAACATCGTGACTTTCAGAGGAAACGATTTGGAGTAGGGATATGGCCTGTCTGGAGACTTTGGAATGAACACAGGTCTCAAATCGGAGTCTGACTTCTCAGTGCTCTGACAGCTGAGCCAATAAACAGTGATTTTGCATGATTTCCACCACACAGTCCATCAGGATGGGTCAGCAGTGTGCCTCCTGCTCCTTTGTTGAGGAGGTTTCCTTTTGGAAGGGAAATGGAGCCCGAAGGAGGGCACCTGGCTGTTCCTGAGTCCCCAAAAGGACACAGGAGTGAGTGAGGGTGCCTTGTGCTGTCACCAGCTCCAGCCTTGGCCCTGAAGAGGTGCCTGGCCCCACCTGCCCTGCAATGCCCACCTGGACACACTGGCGTTTCCTCCCTTCCCAGACCAAATGTATCCATCCTGGGAAAGAAAAGGTTTATTCACTGAGTGCCATAATATTGATGCAAATGGAAGCCCTGGTCCTTCTCAGAGCTTTTTGTGTTTCACTGGGCACAACCTCCTCACGAGCCCAGGCTGCAGAATGCAGCGGGGTCACAGGGATGGGCACCCAGAGCATCACTGGGCGGATGGGGTGGAAGGGACCTCTGGAGATCGCCCTGTGCAAGGATGGGCACCCAGAGCATCACTGGGCGGATGAGTTGGAAGGGACCTCTGGAGATCACCCTGTGTAGGGATGGGCACCCACAGCATCACTGGGCGGATGGGCTGGAAGGGGCCTCTGGAGATCGTCCTGTGCAAGGATGGGCACCCACAGCATCACTGCGTGGATGGGTTGGAAGGAGCCTCTGGAGATCACCCTGTGCCAGGATGGGCACCCACAGCATCACTGGGCGGATGGGTTGGAAGGGGCCTCTGGAGATCGCCCTGTGCAAGGATGGGCACCCACAGCATCACTGGGCGGATGGGCTGGAAGGGACCTCTGGAGATTGCCCTGTGCCAGGCGGGGTCAGCAGGTGACACACGAAGGTGTCCAGGTGGCTTTGGGATGCCTCCAGAGAGGGAAGCTCCACACCCTGCCAGGGCTCTGCCGCCCTCACGGAACGGAGCTCTTCTCGTGTTGTGGCGGAACTCCTGCTGTAGTTCACGGGCGCTGCTCCTTGCGCTGTCCCCGGGCAGAGCCTCTCGGGGACATTTTCTGCGGGCTCTTGCGGGCTCTCCCCGCCGGGAGCTCGGGGCTGGCTGTGCGGGAGCGCGGGCAGCGCCGCCGGACACGGGCCGGCCGCGGGGCCGGGCCCGGCCCCGCGGCCGGCCCGTGTCCGGCGGCGCTGGCCGCGCTCCCGTGCGCGCCCCCCCGGCGGGCGGCGGGGGCGGGCGCCGCGCGGGCCGCGCTGATCGCAGCGCGCCATTGGCCGCTGTCTGCGCGCACGTCACGATCATGATGAGAATTAATGATCGGGGCCGCTGATTTCATTGTGTGACGCCGGGACCGACCCAGCCGAGCCCGGCCGAGCCCGGAGCCCCCGCGCCGGCCCCGCGCTACACGGTAAGCGCGGGGGTGTCCCCCCCCCCCCACACCAAGGGTGGGGGCGCGCGGCGGGGCCCCCGGGCGGGAGGGGCGCGGCGGGAGGGGAGGAGGAGGAAGATGATGATGATGATGGTGGTGATGATGATGGCGATGATGATGGTGATGATGATGCCGGCGATGCGCCCCCCCTCCCCCCGGGCCCGGCGGTGGGGGTGGGGGGAGGCCGGCGCGGGCTCGCGCGCGGGGACGCGCCCAGCGCGCGCAGGCGCCGCTGCTCCCCCCGCCCCCCCCCCCGGGCGCGGCCCCGAGCGGGGGGGGCGGCCGCGGGCACGCGCCGGGAGCCGCCGGGGGAACTGCGCGTGCGCGCGCAGCCGCTCCGCGCGCGCCAGGGGAGGGGCCGCTCTGCGCGTGCGCGCCGGGCCCGGCAGCGGCCCCCTCAGCCGCGGGTGCCTCAGTGGTGGGCACGGAAAGATCGCGGTCACACAAATATCGCTGTTATAGAAACATCGCGGTCACAGCAGCGTGACAGTGACAGAAACATCGCGGCCACAGAGCCCCGGAAACAGCCCGGGATCCCCAGCACAGCCTGTTACCCATCACCGCCCCGGGCACTCAGTGCCACGTCCAGCCTTGCCTTAAACACCTCAGGACGGGGACTTTGCCGCCTCCCTGGGCAGACCCTTCCAATGTCTGACCGCTTTTTCTGTGGAGGAATTGTTTATAATTGCGGTCCTAAACCTCCCCTGGCACAGGTCCTGTCATCGCTAATTTCCTCATTCCCCGGTGTCTCAATCACAATCACTGCGGTTGGGAAAGAGCTCTGAGATCACCGAGTCCAACCTGTGCCCCATGCCCACCTTGTCACCCAGCCCAGAGCACTGGATGGAGACTCCAAACCTCCCTGGGCAGCCCCTTCCAATGTCTTACCACCTGTTCCATGAACAATTTCTTCCTAATGTCCAACCTGAACCTACCTTGGCAAAACTTAAAGCTGTGTTCTCTTTTGTCACGGATTGCCTCAGTCCTTAGCGCCCCGGTGTCCCCAGTGGCTCAGTGTGCCTGTGTTGGCAGGGGTGTGGAAGAAGATGAACTTTAGGGTCCCTTCCAACCCAAACCCTTCTGTGGTTCCATGGTATTGGCCTGCTGTGGTTGGACAGGGCACCTTGTGCTGCCACACATTGATCCCTCAGGTGTTTGAGGATGAGGAAGAGGATGTGTCCTTGGCTGTGCTCTTCTGGAGGTCTCACCTCTGGAAGTGCTTGTGTGGCATTCACCTGCCCGAGCAGTCCCCAGCCCTGTCCCCCCTTAGCCTGGGGTTTCTCATTCTGTGGATAAGAACACACAGGATATAACTCACCTAAAGTATGTGTCCTCCCAACTGGAGTCCTGAAGCAGCTCATATGTTCAGAGTAGCACTGCATTTTGATGTTTCTTCCTCTTTTTCTGACATAGGTCTTACAAAACATGTACATGCTTTATTTAAAACACGTGGCTAATCCAGCTGCAGTCAGGAGTCTCATTTGCATCAATAAAGCAGGATGGGATGCAGAAACCTGCAGTGTTGTGGTCATGGGTTATTATGTTATTAAGTTACTGAGGGCTGTCTAATTTGTCCCTAATAAAGGGCTGCATTTTATAGGTAGGGCTGTAATACAATCCTACAAACGCTGTACTTAGTGGAGAGGGAAGCAATTATGCTGCGAGTCACGGATATTTAAAAGTAGTTTTACAAGCTGGTGTGTACATTACACTCGCCCAAGCATTGGCCTCATCTGCTGCACTTGGAGTGAATGGTTGTAACTGGTTTGGCCTGTGTAGGAAAGAGGCACCAACCTACAAATTCAGAATATTAAAGGTTGTTGCTTGATGTGTGTCCAGTATCTCCACATAGTGTGTAAGTTGAGGGGTTGGTTGGTTGATTGTTTTCTTTCCATTTTGGATGTGCAAAAAATCGTGAGTTTTTGGCAGCCTTGGAAAGTGAATGAGATTATTTCAGTTCAAGTTTCTAAAGCTGGAGGAATAGTGTCACTACTGCAGTCTGGTTTTATTTATGTCTATAGTAGTTTTCTTACCATAGTTCCAGTTTTGTCTCAGATTTATATTGGCACTAAGACTTGTTATTTTTTGCTACTGGAGATCTGTGGAAAAAACAAAAAAAAACCCCATAAATTGGGAGTGTGCCGATTTTCTTGTACCTCTTACAGATGGAGAGACTAAAACAGAAATAGTCTTTATAAGGTGACTTTTTTCCTAAGAAAATGCCTTTTTGGAACTGAAGTTAAAAAAGAAAACTCTCAAAAACTGATTGTTCCCTTTTATCACTTTGTGTTAATCCCTGACAGTTTTAGAATATGTTATACCATAAGTGTTTTTATACTTAGTTACTTCCTGGTGGCTTGTACTCTTGAGTTAATTAATTAATTTATTATTTATTTGACACCCAAGACTAGTTTCTGTTGCTGTTTGAAGTGAGTATAATTATGGGTTTGTTTCCATTTTTCAAATTAATTAGTGTTAGTATAAAGACTTGTAAATGTTTGCTTGATTCAGCAATCCAAGCATTTAAGGACTTTTGGAGACCGAGATCATACTGCTGTACATTGTAGGGAGAAATTGTGGTTTTTTCCTTATGCTGCTCCTTTATCTTTTCTTTATTTCCCCCCCCCCCCCAGATCGCTCAAGTGATTGCAGAACAGCTCAGTAACCCCTGAATTATTTGATTACATTATTTTTCCCCATTTCCTTATAGTTGTCATTCTTTTGTGGCACTCCTTGACATGAAGTTGTTTCCATTAGCTGCTGAAAAGGAATGACCTGGCTTCACCAGGTCTCCCTGGAGAGATTCCTGATTTTGGAATGTTGGATGAAGTAATTGGGGTGGAAGGGCTGGATTTGCAGCAGGCACTGGGCTCATGCACTGAGTACCTGTTCCCTGAGGCAAAGCACGGCTTCAAGAGCCAGCTCTGCTGGAGCTCTGCCTGCTGTCCCCTCATTCTCGCTCTTCCCAGAGGAGGGATGGAAGGGAAATACTGGGCAGAAGTTGTTCAAACCACTAAAGAAGCCTGAAAAAGTTCAGCTGTAAGAACAACCCCAGTGTCATCTGCTGAGGAGCCGGTGATGGTCGCAGGGTGTCCATGGAACTGTCCTTGGGACAAACTGAAGGCCATGGATTTCCCATTTTTCTTTGTCCTTTTCAGTGTCCACCCTGGGATCTCCCAGTGTCGCCAGTGCCTGACAGCACTTGGACTTCATTTACACCTCCCAAACTACGACACAGCAGAGGGATCCTACAATGAACAGATTTTTTAATTAGTGTTCAGTTCAGAAAGGCAGTGAAAAAACATCTTTATATTGTTGGTCTCACAGCAGGCTGAGGGGTGGGAGACCCCATGGGAGTGCAGAGTTACCAGTGTTGGTTGGCCTGGGACAAATAGCAGGGGCAAGGGAAACCTTGGAAAACCTGCTTTTTTAGCTGTCATGGGTTATTCTCTGCACTGTGAGAGACACCAACACACCTGGCCAAGGCTGCTTCATTTTATTAGAGCAGGCAGATTTTGAATCCTTAAATACATCTTTGCCACCTCCATCTTTCATTAAAGTGAAAATTCAACTTACATTCATAGAATTTGTTTGCATAATGCTTTACCTGATTTTTATTAAATTTCACAGAGTTCTTTTCTGTAACAAACTCTCTTTTCAGTGCCAATGTGTTGCCAACCAGCTGGACACTCGGCTTCCCAAAAGCTCACAGGCTTGTTTGCTAAGCTTGGCAAGTCAAGATCAAAATGAAATTATGATAAAAATCCAGGTGGATTTCTAACTTGGAGTCTGAGGTTCAAGACAAAGGTGAGAAATCCTGAAGAGTCTGGAGTGCTCTGTAGGTGCACAGATTGGGAAAAAGAGTTTATTTCCTTGGAAGTTCCTGTGGTTGTTTTGAATAATAGTCTGTGATGAAAGTGTGTGACCTGCTGATTCCCTTCACACTGATGTGGCTGCCTCAATGTTCAGTAATTTTAGCATTTTGCAAGTTACTTCCTGTGTTAAAAGAAAATGTAAGAGCTCATGATCTTGTTCTAATTATGAAAACTGATGCTGAACTTGTAAAACTTCCCAAAAAATAATCAGTGTAATTCTTTAATGAACATATCCTGTATTAATTTGTCTCAGAGACAGTAACATTATGTTCTCACAGCTGTGTGAATACTCAGTGTGGTAAATTCCCAGGTGTGACAGGCTTGGGCAGTGAGCAGAGCTTGTTGTCTGTGCAGGTGGGATATGCAGAGATAATCCAGCTCTTCCTGGATTAATGGGATGGCTCTGGACTCTGGTTTTCCAAGAGAGCTCCCAAACATCTATCAATTGGTTTATTCAATACAGGGTACTGCTTTAGATATTCAGAATCAGCCCTTAAGAACTGCTGATAACAAACTGATTTCCATCTGCATTTTACAGGTGACATAATATTAATCAAAGAGCTTTGAACCTGCCAGAGACAGAATATTGCCACTGGTGTGAAATTGGTGGAAGATGGTACAGAACTGTCTTTTGACTGAGGGTTTGGTATATCCATGACATAAGAAGCTTTAATAAATCTCACCTGCTTATGTAAACTGCAGTTATGACTCAGTTCATAACTCTGTGGCTGGAGAATCCTGTAATCTGTTTATTTAAATCAATTTCTAGTGGTATCTGCAGGGATCCTTTGAGCTCTACTTTACTGGATTCAAAGCAGAGGCTACCGAGGAATCTTACCAGGACTTTGGTTGGCAGGTGGAGTTCATGAGTGATTAAAATGCACTGTAAAAATGAGTTATTAAAGCAGAGCATGACCTCTCCCGAGCTTAGCTGGGCCAAACCTGTCATGCAATGCTCAAGGGTTTATCTGAAGTTCAAGTGATTTAATCAAAATGATCCACCCTGTCTTTATCTCAATTACAGATGTCAAATGCAACAATGAAAGTGTTTTAACACAGAAGTGACCTTGGATACAGAAATCCACATAATTAAAAAACGTGTCAAGGACCTGACACAGGTCCTCCCTCCCAGGTCGTCAGGTCTGGCTTTAAAAATTTATTTTGCCATTGGAAGAGTCTTCAGTGCAGTTGGTGAACTGTTTGGAGAGCATGGTGTGATGAGCCTGTGTGTGGAAATGCTGGAGCTTTGGGGTCACGTCAGCAGGATCTGGAAAAATGGAAATTGAACTATTGAAAGAGGAAAGATGAACTATTTCTGATGAGGTCATTTGTGGGAACTGAGCCCTACTCAGTAAAACAGGAGCACTGGTACTGAAAGAGTAGACACAGGAGTGGAAGCTGGGTCCTGCCAATCGTGCAGGAGGAAAAAGAAACACAACATTAACTCTTCTATGTTCATTCAAAGTTATGTAAATCATTCCATGGCCTTGTCATTGTGTATCCACATAGGAGATCTGAAGGCAGTTCTCAACATGAGAAAGTAGATTATTATGAACTTTATTGATTTGTTAATGGAGTAATAATTGTCTCCTCTGTTGCTTGCTATAAATTTCTTTAAGGAGTAGATTATTCAGAGCAAGAGTTTCCTTTGGCCAGCTCTGGCTGTGACTGAATAAATGTTATGGGGAGGCAGAATTTGGGCAAACCTGACTTGTAATGCAGCTGGTGCTGCATTTAATAATGCGCTGGACTGGGAGGAGGAATAAGAGTTGAGAATAGAGGTAAAAAATGTAATTGAAAAATCATCTTCTATTTTATCTGTTATTTCAAAGAAACAGTAATTTTTACAAATTGGTAATTACTCATTTTTTTATTGCCTGTTGACATAGAGAGGAAAGTAAACTCTGAAGTCAAAGCTCTGGCCTACAAGCATTTTACTCCAAATTCTAGATATCAATCTCTTTCTTTCTACAGGCCTGTTGAACTCTTAACATCCATTACCATTACATAGTATAATCATCTTGGAGAATAAAGTGAAAGCAGTTGGATGTCTGCTTATGCTTTTGAGCCCCTAATAACTTTATTTGCTTTATATTAGAATCAGTTCTTGTGCAAAGATTAGGTAGATCTCCCCTCTCCTCCTTTCCATTCAGAATTTTTAAAAATGCATGGCTACAAAGGGTTCCTTTATCCCCTTTATTTTCCTACTGGATGTTGGCAGGTTTCTTGTCCTTGGTTCATTCTGTATTATTGTGATTCATATACTGCATTAAAATAACTTGTGGCTGGTGACGTTTTTGCTTCCCGAGTCACCACATTGGCTGCAGGTTGTTCCTGGCTGGCACTTGCACTGTCTCAGCTGTGGCCTCCTGTCTGGGACAAAAAAAGGCCCTACCTTGGAAATCTGTGATGATGAGGGTCTTCTTTTCTGATATCTCCCCAGAGGATTACATTATTTGCCTGTGTAGATTGTGTAACAAGAGCATCAAGCTCCAGTTTGCTGTTAGGACGCTGTTGTGCACTTGGTAATATTGATAATAGTACTGACACAGCAGAACTGGCTCTTGTGGAATGCAGGAATTGCTGAAGTTGGAGACAGTGGAAACTTTACTCGTGTCAGTCACCTTGATTTTATACCAGATTGTGGCTGTTTTTTTTGTTGTTAGGGATGGGAGACAGACCTGCTGATATTGGAGCTGCAGATGTTTCTATGTTTTGCTTAATGCTTTTATTTAATTTACATTTTTAAGAAAGAAACTTTCTCTTTCTAACTAAAGCCTCATGGACTTAGCAATATCTTGTAATATTTATTTATTTGTGAAAAGCAGTCACTGTTGTTCCAAACATCCAGTTCACCTGTTCAGCTTGACACAACGCTGATTGCAAGAGGCTTTCTTGGAAAGTCAAGAAGAGTGTTGGTAAAAGGTTCTGTAGAGAAAACAAGTCAGTCCTCAGTGTTATGGCACAAAGGAGAGCCTGTGCCTCCTGCACAGTTACAGCTTCCAGCCCAGCTTTCAGAGTGTCTCCTTTTCCTTTCAGATGAATCTGCGTTCTGTATTTACTGTAGAGCAACAAAGGATATTACAGCGTTACTATGAAAATGGAATGACAAATCAAAGTAAAAATTGCTTTCAGCTCATATTACAGTGTGCACAAGAAACTAAACTGGATTTCAGCGTGGTCAGGGTAAGTACTGAGGCCTTCCAAATTTGTTAAGCATACATATTTATTGCTTTACATAAAATATAGAGTCTTGAGTCTCTAACTTTATCCTTGTTTTAAATCAGACTTCAGTGTGTGTGTGTGCATGACATTTATTTTTACCCAGCGAGCCTATTTAGAGTTTGTTTTCACTGAAATATCTTCACATGAATGTTGAATTTAGCAGGGGCCAGGGTTGCACAAGGAGTGATTTTTGTTGTCTTTTGTTGGGATTTTTAAAGTTATTTATTAAATTATAGGGTGGCTTGTCCTATAGAAACTTTGTATGATGAATTATAAAAAGCAAGGTCATGTTATTAAGAAAGTATTTTTAAGCTAAATAAGTTTCTATAAATTCATATATTTGGGAGAAACAATTTCTTTTTGGTGGAACTATTTCTTTTGATCACTCTGTCACACTTGTATGCCACATCACAATCGTAAATATTGTGGTCCTTTGTGGCTATTCACAGTGAGGACATTCTTTTCCTATAAAGCAAGAATGTCCCAGTGCTAGCAGGAGCTCTTCCAGAGTCTATGAATTCCACGGAAAGGGAAATAATAATCCCTTTGTGAAACACTAGACAACAAAATGGCTGTTGTCCGAGAGAGAGCAGAAATAGAAATCCTGAGGCATTAGATGGAAAAATAACAAAGGGTAGTGGAACTCCCAGGAGCTGCTGTGACACTGGACGCTGAGGAGGAGCAAGTGGGACCAGTCTAGGTTGGTTTTTAATTGGTTTAACAGTGGCACATTGACAGTAACAACACTGCTCCCAAATTCTTACCTGGTTTCCTCTCCCTCAGAACATTCTGGAAACATTAAAAGTTACTTTCTCAGCTGGAGGTGGTAGAAGCTGTGAAAGTCAGCCAGGGGTTCAGGCTCCTGGGGCAGGCAGGCAGTTGTAACAGGAATCTGGATGCTGATGGTGCAGCCAGGGCTGGTTTGCTATTTTTGTGCTGATTGAATGTCCTAGAGGAGGCAGTCCAGCTCCCCTCTCCTTGCAGTTCTCTCCATCTTCACGTTTCCTTTCCCTCTCCATTTCCCTTCCTGTAATCAAGTATCATTCCTTCTGTTTTCTTCCCTTTCTGAGCCCTGATTTGCAGCACTTAAACTTTTTCTTACTTAGGAAGTGCAATGGAAACAGATCCAGTGTCTGTCCTGCATTTCTCATATTTTAGCATGATCTTACCTTTCTCTTCTTTACATTCATCATTTCTGCTTCTACTAATGCCCCCTTTTTTCCTTTTTTTCTTTTTAATCCTATAAAACTCTTGGTCAGTGATTAATTCTTTGCAAAATGATACTTGAGTTGCAGCTGGCACTTGAAGATAGGATTATAATAGACACATGAATTCCCTAAATACAGTTGGTCAGGAGAATGGGACTCTCAGCAGAAGCAAAGCTGACCAGTAACTGACATTTTACTAGATGTTACAAGTTGTGCCTTAAATTAGATATTTTGTAAAATTTGACAAAAAATTAGTAGAGTAGAATAGTGTATGGCAAGGATGGTTTTTTTCCTGTATGAAGTCATGGTGGTGTCAATGAAATAAATCTTGAGGGTGACTTCAAGACAGGAGGCATGAGAGTGTCAGGATTTTTAAGATGCTGGGGCTTTGGAATTGAGGCTGGGGTTGTCCTGTGTTTGAATTGTGGATGCCAAAGAGGAGAGGCCTGGATCTCTACCCTGTATTGTTCAGGCCTGTATTTCCACCCTGTCTTGTTCACTGCATAATCAGAACATGATTTACATGTTTGTAAACTTAGATCTCGACTCAAACACTTAACATGTCATCAGACCTGCTTAAAAATGGAATTGCTAATTTTTTTCTGCCTCTTTGACACCTCATTTTGTGTTTGTTGTCATTGCTGTCTTGTTTGAAGACGTGGGTTGGCAACAAGCGGCGGAAGATGAGCAGCAAGATCGCCGTGGAATCTGGGGGCACCCCCCCAGGCACTGCCCCTGCCACTCCCTCCATGCCCCCAGAAGCAGCGGTGAGAAATGTGGTAAATATTGCTCGATCCCAAAGCCAGCAATCCTCTTGGACCTCTTCTAACAACGACGTGATAGTGACTGGTATCTACAGCCCTGCCAGCTCCTCGGGCCGGCCGGGAGCCTCCAAGCACACGAACGCCTCTGTGGCAGAGCTGCACAAAACCTCCATCCCCCGGCTCCCGGGCAAGAGCGACGCAGACTTCCAGCAGCAGCACATCCCTCTGGGACGGCAGGTACCCCACTGTAAAAACGCTTCCCTCTTGGTGGGGGAAAAGACCATTATTCTATCCAGGCAAACGAGCGTGCTCAATTCTGCAAACTCCATCTACAGTCACACGAAGAAAAGCTACGGCAGCTCCTCGGTGCAGACGGCGGAGCTGGTGTTACCTCAGAAACCCATGATTTGCCACAGGCCCTGCAGGGCCGAGCCCTTGGCGTGCCAGCGCTTGCACAAACCCGAGCCCGCGGCCCTGGCGTCGCACGTGCCCCCCGGGCCGAGGGCTCACCCCAGGGACCCCGCGTGTGGCACGCAGAACCTGGAGATCCGCGAGGTGTTCTCGCTGGCCGTCACGGACCAGCCGCAGCGGCTGGTGGCGGGCAGCGCGCCGCAGAAGCAGCCCTCACCTGAGGGCAGCTGCCTGTCCATCGCAATGGAGACCGGCGACGTGGAGGACGAGTACGCCCGTGAGGAGGAGCTGGCCTCCATGGGAGCGCAGATCCACAGCTACTCCAGATACTGTGAGGGCAGCGGCTCCGGCCGTGGGGACAACCAAAGCGCGGCCGGGCCGGGCCGCAGCGGGGGCTGTGGGACACAGCTGGGCGGTGCCAGGGATGTGCCTGACAATCTCCTCTACCACAGCAGAGAGTTCCACCTGCCTGCACGGACCTCATTGCACACAACATCCAGCACGATTTATAACCCTGCCAACGCAGCCAGAAGTACCTTTTCTCCTCATTTTACATCTTCAAGTCAACTGAGGCTGTCACAAAACCAAAATAATTACCAGGTAATGCATCAGTTTATCTCTGTCTTCAAACCTCAAAGGCGAGGTTGTAGATAAATGTTGGTTTCAAAGTTGGTAGCTATTAAGCAATAGGTTCACCTTTCTGTAGGCTGTGCTCCTTTTATGACTTTCAGTGGAGATAATTCCTTCTCAAACCCAGTGCAGGCAGCACTGCAGTGTGGTAGCACTTCTGTCTGTCCAGCTGAGCCTCTGGTAGCCATATATTGAAGATCAGGAAGATTTATTGAATTCCAGAACTAAATTTTGACTGCAGGAGGGTAATACCCACAAGCTGGTTGCTCAGGCCTGTGTTGTCCTGCCCTGCCTTTCCAGCACACGCCGTGGCCATTCCCTGGGTGTTCCCCTGTGGACACACATCACATGTGGCACAAGACATGGTTTCATGCTGACGTTTGTGCATTTGCTCACCCCATTGATGTCAGCTTGGAATCCTGTACTCTCTGTGCAGGTGACAGTCTCTGTGTTCTGTCAGGGATTAGGATCCCCTGTGATGGAGTTAACTCAGCTTCCTTTCTCACAGCATCTAATTCAAATAATCAGTTTTACATTCAATCCCTTTATTCCTTTTCGTGTACTAAAATCCCTTTAGTGATTCTGAGGGGAAATTAAATGCAGATTATTGAAGAACTAAAAGATGTTTAGGAGAAACTGCAACACTTGACACATTTTTTTTAGTTTTTGGTATTACAAGGGGAGAGATACTTGTGCAGGAAACATCCAAATTGGCGTATTTCATGGATTTTTACACCATCTGGCATGACATAGCCTGGAGACACTGAGGTAGAAGTCTTTTAAGGCTGACAGGATGTGATTCTGTGTGTGTCACCTGCATGCATTTGCCTGTTACTGCCTTTTTATTTTCTCCTGAAAATAAACCATGTTGACAGCATATCAGCTTTTCCTGTGCTTTGCTCACCAGGGTAGAGAACGAGACTTTGTGCATCATGGTTTTTTAGGGTTTTTAATTTTTCTTTTCTTTTTTTCTTGACTTGTTCCTATCTCATGTTACCATTTGAAGGAAAGCTTCTGAGTCCAAGTCAGTGCCACTTTTCACCTGAATTATTACTTCTCTGAGTAGACCAGAGGTTTGATGAACAGAGAGTAAATTCTGGGGAGTAGATGGCACATCAGATAGGCTGTTCTCTCCTTTACCCTCACACAGTCTCTGTGTTTGCTGTTACTTTTCTTACTTGATTACAGAATTCCTGAAATGCTGTTTACTTTTGCCATCCCAGTTTCACAGGAGATGAAAAGCTGTAAATGTGCAGATCAGTCCAATAAAGGGTTGCTAAAAGTGCTTACAATTGAGTTAAGGACATTTTATAAAGTTTCATGAAGGGAAATCCATTACTGATGCCTCCATCAGCTGTGTGTGCTCATGGTGCTTTATTTCACTCTTGAAAAAGCATCAGAGAGATGGATTTCTTCTATTTTATTTTATTAATGAAATTTTGAGTAACTTTGTTTTGGTGTTTTATGGGGTAGGAACTGAGTCTTTTTGAAAAGCTAGAACAGTTCATGGTAGATGATATTTTATCTGTCTGTGTGGTGTTTTATGGATCAGAATAAGATCTCTGGAATTTTGTTTTGGGGATTTTTTACTTCCCCCTGTTGTAACAACACACCTGTTTTTTTGATAAGTGAGGAATTCATCTGTACCCCAGCTGACCTCCATGCCTGCTCTTTGGATTTGGAGTGTGGATGGAGGGAGCTTCTGTCATATCCCTTATCATTCCAGAGTTTTAAACCTTGGAAAAGCTGAGCAGGATGCTGTTAATTCCCTTATTGCTGTGAGCATGCACCCTGTGAACCCCTGAGGTGACACTTCTGGCTGTTAGAGACTTTCTAAGGTTCTGCCTTGAATCCTTTTAGGTTTGTACAGGATGACACTTCAGGTTTTTGTAGTCAGTTTATGTTAATTTTATTGCCCATGTTTTTAGCTAATTTATCCATCAGCATAGAGATGAAAATCCTTAAACTTGGGGGAATCTTTTTGAATTTAAAAATAGATTAAACCTGAGCTAAATGATTATTGGAGTAGTTGAACATCCAAGTAGATGCTTCTTCAAAGTCAGGATTTTGTGATTCATGTTTTGATGAAGTAATTACTGTCATATATTGGTGGGGTATCTAATTAGCAATTAGTTATAGCTTCCTTACTGGTTCAATTAATCAAATTCATGTTAGTGTAACTTAAGACTAAATTTAATTAAGTGATCAATTTTAATGCCTGAGCAGTTTCAGTAAACAAATTCTTCAGCCTACTTGCTTGGCTTAGCTTGACTTTGACTGTGTTGAAGTGGAGCGGTTACCTGTGCTGTCCTCCAGGCTGAATTGGGATTTAGTTTTGGTTTCTCCCCCCAACCCTAAGGGACAAGAACACTGTTGAAAATCTGTATTTTTATTTACTTTGTTCCCAAGCCCAGCCCTTGTGCCTGTTTGCCAAGGGCAGCTCAGAACAGTGCCATGCACCTTATCTTCCAGAGAGTTCTCTTGAGATGAACTTGGCTGGTTTTGGCCTCATCCCTGTCAGAACTGTGTGCATTTGTCTTCTCAGCAACCCTCAACACTCTGCCAGGTAGATGTTGCTTTATTCCCATATAAAAGCACTTTTTTTTTTTTTTGTAGTCCCCTTTAAATGAGTGAAGAGGAGCCTCCTGGGTGGTTCCTCAGGGTGCCTTTGCAGTGGATTCTGTGGTGTGAAGCTGTTGTGTGGGATATAGGGTTGTAACAGACATTACAGAATTTCTAAAATGTGTGTATGCAGTGAAGAATTAATATTTTAGGCTCAAAGCCTGATGCAGGCTGGCCCTTGGGAAGGGAGGGTGCTCCTTTCCATCCCTCTCAACCCTCTTCGTGCTGTAATGAGAAAGTGTCTGACCATGGGTGACCTCCAAGTGCTTCCAGCTAAAAGCTTGAAGAATAAAAGTGTTTATGTGCTTGTACAGCAGCCACCTGTACCAGGGCTGCTGTGCTTGTTGTGCTCATGCTGCTGGGCCATCATTGAAGCACTTTGCAAGTACCAAAACTCTCAGAGCAGTTTGGGTCAGGCAGCAGAAGTGCACAGGTTTTTTCCTCACAGGTGATTGATCTCTCCAGAGCTGTGTTTAGTCTCTCAAGCATTGCTTATCTGCAGCAGAAGATGAATATGGGGTCTTAAATAAGCCTAAAATATTCCAGGCTATGACACACCTCAGATGGTCAGGGAAAACACTCTGAGATTTTTATTTCATAAAGTCTGACCTCTGGGAATGATGGAGAAGCAATAGGAGTGGAAGCAGTTCTCCTTTGCCTTTGCACTCCTTCTCCATCCTGATATCCCTAATTTTTCTGCTGGTACTCAAATCTTTAACATGAGACATTGAACAGCTCAGTGAAGGCATGAGAACATTTCTTTTGGAAGTTTCAGTGATGTAATTGGAAAAGATGGAAGGGCAGCTCAGTCCTCAGCCCTTGTCTAACTCCAGTCTGCTCATCCTGCCAGATGGAAAAAGGGAAACTGCTGTTGTGAAGTACAAGTTTTGGGGTACAGAAACACCCAAGTTGTCACTGTGTTATCTTGCCCTCACCCAAAGAAACTGTTTTATTCTTGGCAGCAAAGGTGAGTGTGACTTTGGTTTTCAGTCTTAACCTGTTTACAGACATTGGTGTCAGAATTGAATGCACAGTGCTGAAGTCTCAGTATTGGCTCTCACAGCAACTTAAGCTGCTCTTGTTTCTGTTCTGTTTCCTCCTTCTCCTCTGCAGATTTCAGGAAACCTTACTGTGCCTTGGATTACAGGTTGTTCCAGAAAAAGAGCAGTAAGTACATTTCCATTTAAGTATCTAATGCATTGAGTGAAACAAAAGTTGATAAAAATGCATTTTTGAAAATGTCAGTTCTGTTTACCTTGGGTGGGTTTATGTCCCTTTTTCCTTTGATACAAACCTTATCTGCAGGTGCAGTGTTTCAGTTGAGGTGAAGGTGATGTCTATCTTTAAAAGCAGGTCAAGGTTGGAATCCAGTGTGAGGTGATGCCCAGCTAGGAATCGTGCTCTTAGCTCAAACACAACATCTGAGTTGATAGGACTGAGAGTTTGGGGTTCAGAATATGTTTTTTATATTGAAAGTGAAGTGGTTCTTAACTGGGGCAACTGAATGCTTAAGAGAGTAACTCCCTCTGCAGCTTCTCTGCACATGCACATAGCATGACAGAATGACAGAATTAGTCAGTGCTGGCTGTAGGAACTTGATCAAGTCTAATTTTATCCGCATAAATGTCATTTCACCGTAGCAGAATCAGCCAGTTTGGTGTCCTTAATTCACAGACAACTCCAAACCATAACACAAGGTATGACACATCTTTTGTCAGGGGAAAAAAAAAGCCCTGCCCAACTCTTTTGTTTAGTTAGTGCTGAGCATTTCCAGCTTGTCTTTGAAGAGGTGTCAGTTCTGCCTCCTTACCAGCAAATCCAGCCTCAGCTGGGATGGCACAGCCAGGCTCCCCAGGGGCTGCTCTATCACTGCAGCTCTGTCAGGGGCAGCAGCTGGGGAAGTGTCTGGCATGGTAACCAACCTCCCCAGTCCGTGGAGCTGGCAGTCCCCTGGCAGTGCCCTGGCAGTGCCCTGGCAGTGCCCTGGCAGTGCCCTGGCAGTGGTTGCTGTGTTGGAATGAGGTCTAGGCAATGGAACAGCCTTTCCTTGCTTTCTCTGCTGTAACCAGAACTTTTTTCCTTTATTATTTTCGGTTCTTTTAGTCTTCAAAAAGTGTGAGTGTGGCAGTGTTTCCTGTATAAGTAGGAATCTAAGGGCCATCACATTAATGGTGTTTTCTCTCAGAGTTTTTCTAGGTCTCAGCTAGAACCGCTTCAGAACAGCTGAAGCAGTTCCCATTTCTGGAGAGTCTGGTACAATGACTTACTTCTTTTTGTACAGAGAGCACTTTATAAGAGCATCTCCCAGAGGAACTGGTACTTTTGTACAAATCCTGTTGTGCTCAATCCATCTTCTTTCTTTCCTAAGTGCTAATTCTCTTGAGGAGGCTTTTTAAAATGCAGCTATTTTCTGGAAGGTTCATTCCCTCTTATCACTTAATGACCTTTTAGAGCATCTCACCAAGGAGCTGAGGAATGTCCTGGGTAGAGTTTCACAGCTAAATGGGGAGGTTTTCCCCCTCCCTCCCAGTACCCTGCCACCCCATCCATAGCCAATATCGGGTTGTAAGGTAATCCAGGTTGGGTGTGTGAGCTGACAGGTGCAAATTCTGCTGCTGAGGTGGTTTTTAGAGTTCAGTGCTGTTCTGGGGCTCAGGTGTGTGCCAGAGGCAGCTCAGATTTGGCAGTGGGAGCCCAGGGCTGGGAGTGGGATGACGTTGGCCCCTGCCTGCAGCAATGGGGGGTTGTTGGGCATTGTGGTCATGCTGGATACCTGACTCAGTTGTAGAGGACATTCCTGGAGTAAATTTTAAACTTCCAAGGATGTGGAGGTGCCTGTTCATTAGCAATAGAGTCCTTGATGTTTGAAAATACCTTTGAAATCATTGAGTCAGCCCAGCATCAGCATAGTCACCACTGAACCATGTCCCCAAGGGCCACATCCACACGTTTTATGAACACTTCCAGGGATGGTGATTCCACTCCTGACCTGGGCAACCTGTTCCAATGCTTTACTACCCTTTCAGTGATAAAATATTTCCTGATATCCAACGTGAGCCTCCCCTGGTGCAGCTTGAGGCCCTTTCCTCTCCTCCTGTCCCTGTTCCCTGGGAGCAGAGCCCGACCCCCCTGACTGTCCCTTCCTGTCAGGAGTTGTGCAGAGCCACAAGGTCCTCCCTGAGCCTCCTTTTCTCCAGGCTGAGCCCCTTTTCACCTCCCTCAGCTGCTCCTGGTGCTCCAGACCCTTCCCAGCTCCATTCCCTTCTCTGTCTCCAGCCTCTCAATGTCTTTCCTGCAGTGAGAAACCATTAAGGTTGGTAATTAGAGAATTCTTTTTCCTTAGACTTTTACCCAATTGTCCTTTTAATCAATAAAATGCATAAAACCCATTGGTTAATACAATCTGTTTGACAACATCTGAGTCCAGATTTGTGGATGGACTTTCCCAGTCTGAGTGCAGAATCAGCCTCCTCCAGGGGGCAAGTTGAGGATTTGGCACTCTGAAACTGCTGTGTACACACAGGGGTAAGACAAGCAAAGGAGAAAAAGCTCCTACTTCCTAGAAACTTTGATTACAACTGTGAAATTCTTTTGAATAAAGAGTGTGAGGGAACAGAAATAGAATGGATAGAGTTGTAGAAGTGCCATTATGGCAATTACTGCCATTCAAACAGGAAAAAGGCTAATCTGTATTTTGGTTAAAATTGAGAAGATTGTCTTTTAGATGCTCTGAATTTTTAATCTTCTGCCTTGATGTTTTGTTTCCCTTGCCCTGTCCTTCAACTGTATCAGGAGAGAAATAAAAGCTGTGCAGTTCTGCAGAAACTCTTTCTTGTCTGCTCAGCTCTGCTGTAGGATGATGTAATCCTGATTGTTAATGAATATTAGTCTAGAAATATCACCCTCTCAGTAACTCATGAGAGTGTCTTTGGAAATGGCAGAGTTCTGTGTTCTGTCTTGGTGCATGTGCAGTGGCCTTTATGAATGCATTGATTTTTGGTTTTTCACAGGGTGGTGGAAGGATAACAAGAATTCAAAAATAGCAGTGAAGGTACCAGTTAAGGAGAATAAAAGGGAGAAAATATCTTCCCTTCTGTTAAGTCTTGAGTGCACTGATTGTGCTTCAGTTCTGTGTCATCTGAGGTCTGAGCAGAATGGGTTGTGGTTTTGGTAGATTTAAAAGTACTGGTGTGCTCTGGAGAACATTTGGCACACAGGTGGTGGCTCTGGGTAAGCTGGGCCTTAGTGGTGAGGTTTTATTTTGGGGGAGAGAGGAGGCTTGTCTGCCCTGAGCTTCACTTTGGGGTGTCTGGGCTCTCAGACTGATGTATTTGGGGGCAGGAAAGACCTGAAATGGGTGGAGAGTGCTAGATTTTGATTTTTGTATCACTGTTTGCACATTGGCTATTTGAATGAAACTGTCACAGGAGTGCAGGCACACTTTGGGCAGGTGGAGGGGCTGAGGTGTGACACCTGCCCCCAGCTGTTCTGGGCATGGGAACACAGCTGGATTTTGTGGGGGAGACACGTCAGTACAAATCTGAAGAAAGCTCCTCCCTGGCCTGGTGTGTGCGAGGCTCAGGAGAACCAACACGAGCTGAGAGCACCTCAGAGCAGCTTCACAGAGAAACCCCGGCAGGGATTAAAGCTCCTGCAGTCAGAGGGCACCTCAGCTCTGCCTTTTGTTTTAAAACTATTCCAGGAGCAGCCTGGGGAGTTCTCTCCACCTTCTCTGCTCTCCCAGGAGGGAAGAAAGCTGTGGCTCAGTCAAGTCAGTGGGAGCGTGTCTGAGTGAGCCAGTCGGGGTCTGCAGTGGGAGCTGAGCCCGGCTGGAGGTGTCTGCATGGGGACCCTGGGCTTGCTCCTGCTTTGTGCCATTTGCAAAACTGACTGGAGTGTTTCCTCCTTTGTGAGGCACTTTACTACATATCTCCAGGTATTTCTGCTTTGCTAATCCATCCGTAGCGTGGCCTTCTGGCAGGGAAGAGCTCCTCCTTGTCCCCCAGCAGAGCTGTAGGAATGCACAGGGGGACAAGTCTGGTCATTTTTTATTACGTGATGTGCTGCACTCAGTGCCACAAATCTCCCTGGCTTATTGTCTGCTGTGAACCTGCAGGCAAGGAATGCATGCTGTCTGAACAGGAACTGCAAAACTTTCTGGTCCCATGTGAGGAATACATTGATAAATCAAGTAAGAATCATAATTAAAAATCTAAAAACAAGTTTACTTTGAGGCTGAACATCCACTATTACACAGATCAGCTCAAAATCTCCAGAAGGGTGAATTGTCAGTTTGTGTGGTTTGAGGGTTGGTTTGGAAATTAGAGTGAGATGACTGGGGCTCAGTGTAATTTCTTTGCTAGACATTTCATTGCATTGCTATCTTTTTTTTTTTTTTTTTACATCTTTTTAGTTGAGTTTGATTTAGAAACAGATATTAACAGAATATCTGTAATTTTGGCTGCATGCTGAAGCAGTTACAGCTCTTCTCACAATGGGGTGCTATGAAATATTTATCTGTTCTACTTCCATCAGAGCAAACTTCACGCTTACCCAGCCAGGAGGGAAAGATGCAGAAAGTCTCTGCTGCAGAAACGTACCAGTAGTGAGCAGGAGGGATGGAAGGGTGCCTCCAGACACCTTTGTGCCTGAATTTGTGCAGCTGTGTGTGAGCAGCTGTGTCCAGCCTAAGCTCAGGATGGCTGTCACTGACAGGGGGCAGCTTTGTGGCACTGGTGAAACCTGAAACTGAAACCTCAGGCTGAAGGAATGTATAATCTGGAACAGCTTTAATGAGGTTAAATACCTTGGTGTGTTAAGGGAAAATGCCTACATTCAGAATTTGTATGTGGGAAATCAAGAGATAATAAACTGAAATGCAAGAATGATATTAAATGGTGCAGGTGGGGAAGGGAGAAACATGCTGGAATGATTCAGAAATCACTGTTGATACATACAAATAAGATCCTGAGGTGGAAATTAATAATCTTCTGAAGAAAAGAGATATTAATTAGTGTCAGGGTTCAGAGAGGTCCATGCTGGCGTCACTGGGAAAGGTGAATAAGGCAAAATGACACTGTTCTTGTACTGAAGAATCTGGGGTTTGTTCATACCTTGAATACTTTAAGTGCATCTGATCCTCCCATTCCTCCCAAAATATAACTGAGAAACAGTGACAGGGATCAAAGGCATGGAAAATTTGTTTGTGAGAGGTTTATTTGCCAAAAATAAGCATTACCTCAGCCCATTTCATCACCAAGTATCAGAACTGAATGTTGGTTTAATATGATTTCACTGCAATTGAAATGAACGCCACACGCAGTGCTCAGCTGCAGCATAAATGTAAGTTATGTATAAAACCTCTAATTCTTCCATTTTTTAGCATGTCTTTGATTAATAATCTGGAATTTGTGTATAGCTTTTGTGCACGTGGCCTGAAACATTTTCAAGTGCTGCCTAAAAGCCGATGTGAAAACGCAGCTCCGAGTAAAGGCAGGATAAGGACACTCCACTGCGTGCAATTATTCACCCCAATTATAGACACCGGATTTGCACCACAGCATTTGCTGCATGATGGGGGGGATGAGGGGCTGGCAAAGAGCCAGGAATGTCTCTGATAAACTGGGTCATCTCCTCCAAGGATGTTGTTGTTCCACTTGGGAGGTCGGGGATAAGCCGGGTTTAACCCTGCACGCAGCACAACTGCTGATTCAATTTGCTTTTCCTTGGGAGTGGATAGGCTGGATTCTGCTGGACAGAGCCTCTGCTGCTTTTTAAACTGTGGCCAGCAGAAGTGGGAAATGTAAAGGATTCAGCCAACAGCCAGCACTGTCAAAGCCAAGCCTTGAATCAGCAAGCTGGGTATCTGAAGAGGGGAAATGAGAATTGCATTCAGAGCTGAGTTAATGACGTAAAAAATAAGAACTGAATTACTGGCTTGCCTTCACCTTTAAGTATTGTCATAAATATGAAGCTTTCCAATATTATCTTCTGGTTTTTTTTCCTGTAATGATGAATGTTATGATATTTGTAGGGCTCTGAGGCTTTCCTCTTGGTCCTTCATTTCCTCTGATGATAATAAGCATGAGAATGTTATTAACTAAATTGATGGAAGCTTAGTTAACATGTACAATGTAGAAATTCTATCCTTTATTTTCTGACAAAAGTCATTATGTAATTTTTAAGCAGTTTATAAGGCAGAAGGCAAACTTGGGTATGATCCATGTCGAGGGGATGATCCTGTAACTGAAGGTAGTTTGTGATTTCCCTAAGAAAGTGCTGATAAGGCTCATGGCACAGTGTGTTACACGAAGGCAGCTAATCTGGAACTGAGATTTGGACATGCTCAAGTGTCATTTACGTCTACCGAGCTTAAGGACTGACACTGATCCCGTGATGCTGGTGCAGCAATTGAGAGCAGGGTGTATAAATGATGATCCTTCAGGATCTCTGAGATCCCACAGAGTTGCTCACTTGGAAGAGCACATGAGCTCCTCAGTGCTCGTCTTGGCAGAACAAAACAGCCAAAATGAGACAGAGACCTCAAAGTAGAAAATATAAATTATATTAACATAATTATACAGCAGTTGTGAGGTGAAAACCATTGAATTGTGATGTATCTAATAAGATTTTTATTGAAACATTTGCAGTAGGTCATCAGAATTAACATCTGTCCACTAAAATGGAAAAGATCTGACTCTGCTTTTTAAGGAAAATTTTTGAAGGCAGGTGCTTTTGCTAAATTCTGCTTTTTCCATGTAAAGTCCTTGTTTTGAGTAAGTAAAAGCTGAGCCAGCTCTGCACCTTCCTGAGCACCATCTCTTGGGGAGCTTGAGGCAGGCTCTGGGTGTCTTTAGCCCAAGCAGGATCCTCTTGCAGATCACTTTTCCTACTACCCAGGCCTTGCCCTGGGTCCTTTCAGGAGAGGAAACATTTCTGAATAACTGGAAAACCACGTGGCAAGAAGAAACCTGAGCTTCCTCCAGCAGCAGCTGGACTTTCTTTGGGTTTTGTTCTAATTTGGCCAACGCAACCAGCGGGGTGGGAGAAGACAGCCTCAGCCAGGTTCCCCCTTACCTGTGCTGTAACACCTGGCACATTCCCTGTGCTCCACAGAATTCCACAGACTCTTCTGAGCTGGAAAGGGACCCTGCAGGGATTGTTGGGTGCAACACTCAAGTATGGGCTGAAATGAGAGAATTTCACCTGGGAGGGCAAATGTGGATATTCCAGGGGGGTCGAGGCTGTGGATGTTAAATGTGAGGGGTTGCTGTGTGCTGCACTGATCACAGGGAGCTCTGTGAGTTCCCTGCGAGGGCTTGCAGCAGTGTGGACTCTGCAGCAGCTGCAGGCAGTGTTAGTTACTTATGTTTGAGGTGAGGTGGCCCTGAGCAGTCAGGGATGTGAATTTATCTGGTGCATCTTTTTACTGGAATTACTTTAGGAAGACAAAGGTTTGGTGCCCCTCTTTTATGTTCCTACATTGAGGAGACTCAAGTGCTTCTAACGTTTTGAGAAATAGTAATTTTTAAGAGAAGAAAATTGAAACAATTACAATATTCTGAAGATTTACAAAAGCTAGAACTGGGAACTGTACAAGATTGGCAAATGATCCTGGTTCTGTAAAATTACTTTTTATTCCACTTAAAATTATTTCTTTCTAAATATGAACAGTTGTTAAATTAGAAAACACAGAATTGAAACCATGAACCCAATTGAGTTACTGAAATAATGACACATGTGGCACATGGGCTACAAGTTACCAGTGCACTTTGTGGTTGGTTTTCTGTCCTCTGAATAGCAGAAGTGAAAAACATGGGTTGGAGTAATGAAACTGTAGATTTTAGATAAAATTCTATGTGAAAAGGTTTTGATAAAGCTTGGAAGCTTTACTAGGGAAATACTTTCTGCACTCACATCAGATCAAACAGTGGTAAGATGTTTAGGAATTCTTTTTCAGTGTTACTCCTTTTATCACTGATCCACTATCACATGTTTTAATAAATGTAGACCAAGAGTTTGGGAACTCACAGATAAACAGTGGAACCAATTTAAACTCAATCTCACCACATAAACATTAAAGTATTCCCTTTAGGAAGTCAGAATCCTTTGAATTATGCATGTGTTGTAGTTTGCAGTAAGATAAAAGAACTTTAAGGGGGGGAGGGTGAGAAACTTGAAAAGCCTTTAAGGACTAATTTGCATAAATTGGGTGGAGAGAGTAAACAGCACAAGGGGGAAAAAAGTTATTTTCAGTAAGGCATTATAGAATGAGATAAAACAAATTACCAAAAATATCAGGTGTAGTTGAAAAAAAGCTGAAGTGCCTTAAACTTGTGTTAATGCTGCCACTGCCTTTACAGCAAATCCAAGGGAATTCTGAAGTGCCCTGGATTAAAAAAAAAAACAAAAAAAAAAAACCAAATTCTTAAGGGAGTCTTAAAAGAGAAGAAGAGCCATGGAGACAGAACATGTGTGTAACTGTGTGGGAGACCTCTGGACATGAGTGCTCAGGATAAGCAGATTTTTTTTCAATCTAACAGTATTTTTTTTTATCTTGCAGTTACAGGACCGCACACAATTTAGTGACCGAGACTTAGCTACCCTAAAGAAATACTGGGACAATGGCATGACCAGCCTGGGCTCAGTCTGCAGAGAGAAAATTGAAGCTGTGGCTGCAGAATTAAATGTTGACTGTGAAATAGTTCGGGTAAGAAATCCAGAGTCTTCCCTTATCTTGTCGCAGGAGCAAAAATAGGACAGATGAAAGGCTTTAAAAATTTCATGAGGAAGCTTGAAATAGATTTCACATATTACATAATGAATGACCATGTTGGGAAGTGCTCTCCTGCTCTTTCTGCAGTCTATATTTAGTAAAAGCCCTCAGGTCAGGGTCTTATTGATCAGCAGCAGAAGCAGCACTAGGAGCTGTTTGACATTCTCTTGAGTAAGATTTTAAGTAAAAGTGTTACATTTTTGAGGGAGATCCTAGAAGACTGAAAGGTACTATTTATATTGCTAATAAGATACCAAAAAAGGGCTTTTCCAAAGATATAGAGAAAATACTTCTCATTCATGCTTATATGGAAAATTGTATGAAAGAAAATGCTCCAAAAAAAAAAAAAAATATATTTTACAAGACTGTCTTGAGGGCAGGTTGAGATGTGATGGAAGAATTCTGGGTCAGTTCAGTTTGATGGTTGCTGTAGGTGGCTGAGGGAGGCACAGGTGTGCTGGAGATAACTTAGCTCCCAAGAACCTCTGCACATCATCTCCTCCAGAGGCTGGGATGTTGTGTGAGTGTGTCCTGGATGAGCAGACACCCAGCAGCACCTCTGGGGTCTCCTTATTCACCCCAGCCTCAGGAAATGGCTCCACTGTTTGCAGTCAGACTAGGACAGGAGCCTTCCTTTCCCTCGTGACAGGAGTGACAATTGGGATTATTCCTTTCAGGCTTCACCCTCTTTTTGCACCTGTTTCCTAATTCCTGACACTGCTGCAGAAGCAGGGCTGAGAGCCCTCAGTGAAACTCTCCTGTTGTGGAGACCTCTGGCTTGGTGCATCCAAATGGTCCCAAAGCTGCTTTTAGGGTTGAACACCAACCTGGTTATTTATTTTTGTGGGCACACAAATTCTAAAAAACCCAATTGTACTTTTGGAGGCTGAAGAGAATCACTCTTTTCTCTATAGAAAGCAAAGCTGCTCCTTGTTTTCCAAGGACTTCCCTTTGCTCTCTGAAGGGTGAAGCTGTTCCCCCTGACAGCACCTCCTGGACAGCACAGTGACACCCAGGCTCCCTTGGTTTGTTCCCTTGGGGACATCCTCACTGGCACACAGGGGTGACACTGTGTGGCACTTTCCACCTGCTGGGATGTTTCTGTCCTCAGGGCAGAGACCAGGACACCCTGGAAGGCTCTGGCATCACCTGCACCAGAACAGATGACAAATGATCCCATGCACTCACAGACCTTGCTGGAAGTGTTTCAGGAGGATGTATTTTAGGGATAGAACTCTCGAGCTGATTTCCCACATGGCAATTCCAGTCTGCTCTTGCCCTCACTGTTTTGCTGTTCCAGAATGTTCTCTGTTCAGCACAGCACACAGGATGTGGAACCTTCTCTTCCCCATTTAATTTGAGACACTATCAAAACATGTTCATCTTCTCTGACATTCTCAGTATGTTGAATGAAAGATTTTCTGCTTTGAAAAGTCTGTGAAAAGATCTGCCTTTTTCAAGTGCCTTTTTTTGCTAAAAAAGAGACCAATTCAATTTTAAATTTTGTTAACGCTGTTTGTTAAAATCACAAGATGATGGGAAAATTTAAAGAATGGCAATACACGGCTTGGAAAAAAAGAGACACAGATCTCAAAGGGCTGCTTGTGTGGGGGTTTTCTTTATTTTTTTCCCCCAAACTGTAGGTAATAGAAAAAAATGATCCAGGTGGTAGTTCTCTGCATACCTGTTGTGTATTCTTCAAAGAGGAAAATCAGCAAGCTGGTTTATACCAGCCAACAAAAAAGATATGCTAAAAATAGTGTTCAGCATGTTATCTTTTAGCTTGTTAGAGATGCAGCTTTAAAAGGTTGTTGTTTTTTTTGTTTTTTTTTTTTCCCCAAGGCTGGCACAGTATGAAACTGTGTTTAGTAGTTGGGACTGCTGTTAAAATTCCTTCACTTTTTCTCATTGGTAATCAAGGTATTATGAGCAAAAAGTTTTTTATTCAACTTTCTCAGAAGCCTAGGAAGAAGAACAGGGCAGGTATTTCTCAAATAAGGCCAGAGTGATGTTTAGTGTGTCCTTAAAGAAAATACTAAACATTTTAATGTCTTGGGATACTCATTTGGAACAGAGGCCTCATGGAAAGGATGTGGATTTTGCCATGGGCTGATCATGTTTGCAAACCCAGGAACTGCTGCTCCTGTTTCTGGGGCTGTACATGGTGAGAAGGGGGATGAGAGCCAGCCCATGAGCAGTGGGAGTAGCAGTTGGTAAAGAAGTGGATTCCTGGCTCTGGGAAGGATTTTTGAGTTCCAGTGGAGAACTGATTTGATGGAATGCAGGGTCTGGGGTACAGGGGCTGCTGAGCAGAGTTGAGATGAGGAGTTGTAGACAATTCTTGTTACATCATGTTAAACTGAATCCTTTTGGTGTAGATGTTTCTTCATCAGAGAAGGCAAATTAATGACCAGGTGTACAGATCCACTTGGAGAATTTAGAATATGGGTCCTTTTTTTTTTTTTTTTCTCCTTTGAAATTCAATTTTATGATGTAAAATGAACTTAAACATCCATCTCCATCCCACCATGGCAGGGTTCCAGGTTCCCTGGGCTGATTTCATCTCCAAGACTGCTCCCAGTGTGCTCCTCTGCACTCACTGCAAACAGCTTTTCCTAAAGCTCTGTTTTACAGCCAAAGGGGACTGAAGGAGGATCTGCTCTTGAGTTTTATTCTTCCAAGTTCCTTTCTGTCCTCCAAGGGGAGTGCTGTAGGTCTGTCACCTTGGCCAGTTCCCTCTGTGCTGTAGGAAATCCTAGAACAGGGGAGATGTTTGGGTCATCGGATGCTTCAGTCCCCTTTTGGAAGTTGCAGAGTAGGAGAACCTGGATCAAAGATCTTATTTTAAATTTGTTGAATAATTTAGGGGGGCAGAGACCTTACAAAGTCACCTAGTCCTGCTCTTTATCTGGAGCAGGATTTTGGAATTGAGTCAGGTTTCTCAGGATGTTGTCCAGTAAAATGTTGAGTACCTCCAAGGCTGGAGCTACCAAGGCTACAAACTGTCCCTCTGCCTCACTGTAAAGCATTATTTTTTTAATATATTCTCAGTTTCAAACAGAACTTCCCTTGCTGCCACGTGTACCTATTGCTTCTTTTCCTTTTGCTGTGCACCTTCCTGTTTCCCATGGAAAGCTGAACCTGGGCACAGGATTTCGGGAAGCAGCCTCAGGAGGGTGAAATACTGGGGAATACTCAGCTCCCTGAGCTGCTGGCTGCACCCCTGCTCCTGCAGCTCAGATGTGCTGATGTCACTTGGTTGGGGGCCTGTTGCTTTTGTTATAGTTTCTGATATCATTCATGTTTATTTCTCTTACAAGACTTGGATTGGGAATCGAAGACGGAAATATCGTTTAATGGGGATTGAGGTCCCACCCCCTAGAGGAGGTCCTGCTGATTTCTCTGATCAATCTGAATTTGTTTCTAAATCAGCACTTAATCCAGGAGAGGAAACTGCTACTGAAGTGGGGGATGATAATGATAGGAATGATGAAGTATCAATCTGCTTATCTGAAGGAAGCTCACAAGGTATTTGGAATGCAGTTACTACTGTGCCTATATTTTCAATTTTGTGCAGTGTGCATGCTTTGGATTCTGTTGTACACATTCAAAAACGTCTGACAGAGTCACAAGTGCTCCACCCTGCCTGGGCTGAAGGTACTGTTTGGTCTCTTTCTTCTACCTCTGTGTCTCTGAGTTTTGTTGGGTTTGTTGTACAAAGATTGGAGAAACCTTTGGTCCTAAGAGCCCAGTTTCTGCCAGATTCATCTGAAATGAAGTCAAGAATTCACATTTTGCTGGTGCAAGTGAGAGCTGGGCAGCCAGTACAGGTGGGGAAGCTTCTCTTTCCAAGGAAGCCAGATTTCAAAAACGCTCTCTGCCAACTGCTCAGTTCTTCCCAGCCACCTGGAATGGCCATTCCATTTGACACCCCATCCCTGGAGGTGCCCAAGGCCAGGTTGGACAGTGCTGGGAGCACTCTGGGACAGTGGAAGGTGTCCCTGTCTTGGCAGGGGGTGGCACTGGATGAGCTTTAAGGTCCCTGCCATCCCAACCCATGATTCCACAGTTCCATCCCTGTGATCCTCAGCCACCCCAAGCACTGGAGCTGCTGCTGGGGCTGAGCAGAGCTGCTGGGACTGTGCATTCCCATGTCTCCTGGCAGGGAGCCCCTCAGCTCAGGCTGGAACAAGGAGCTGCCCAGGCTCCTGCTGCTGTATCTGACAGGCAAACACAACCAGCAGATCAAAGCCAGAGGCAGGGCACAGCCCAGGAGCCTTGGAGCTGCACACACAGGGGGTGTCCTCAGTAAACTGCAGGATCTGCAGTGAGAAGTGCCTTCAACTGAATTCCCTCTTCCCTCCCAGGAGCACATGGGATCGATTCTGCTGCCCCTCCTGTCCATGAGCCCAGCACATCCCTCACTCACTAATTGCTCCCAGTGCTTCTGCTCAGAGGAGATCAATGCAGCTTTGCTCTCCAAGCTAAAAGAGAGTCTGACCTGGGCCTGCTGCTCTGCAGCTCAGTGTGCCAGGCTTGATCCTGTCATTTCCTCAGCACAGTTGAAAGGGAAGAGCCAGGGGAACTGAGGCGGCTGGGAATGAGTTTGGGAGAGCTTTGTCATACTCGACTGTAGAGGGAACAAAATGGTGAAGAAATGGGTCAAGTGATTGAAAGCCAAGTGAGATGAGGAATCTCAGAGTCCTTGATTTGCCTGAGGTGTGGAAGGAGCTGATTTAAGTCAGATCTGCTTGAGAGAAAACGGTGACAGGGAAGAGTCTGAAGTGTCTGTAGCTCAAGTGAGGAATAACTCTGTGTTGGCTGAGCCAGGCTTTCATCAGGCAAGGTGAGGCTGAACACTTGGGTGCATTATTAGTGTCAAAGCCTAAGGAGGTGCGAGGAAACAGGATTTTCACAGCATCCACGAATCCCACCTTCATTCCTTTGTTCTCCCACTACAATTATTTCTGTTCATTTCTCCAGTTCAAAGGAGGAGGTTTCACTGCTGCAGCTCAGCTGGTTTTGAACTTCCAGGAAAATATTTCCCCCAATAATCATGAGTTATGTTCAGTCACAGATAGGGAATTGTTCTAATGTTTGAGAACTTGTAACTTTTGGTCCTAATTTATTAAAAAACCAAAAGAACAACAGCAAAAAAAAAAAAAAACACTCTGAAGGACAGACAAAAGCAATTTTTGGTCATCTAATTAGAGTAATTAAAGTTGATGGCTTTTGCTTTTAAAATGTAGTGTGTAAATATAAAAAAATAAGCTGTGCTTTGATGCCAAATGGATCATTAATGCTCGCATATTGCCTCACCTTTTTTAATTGTGTGTTAATTGAATCCACAGTGTGTAGGTGGAGGCCATTAGGGCTGTGCTGGTTCTGTGAGCTGAGGATGAATATTTAAGGAGTTGCTGTAGGGAGCTGCTTCCTTCAGCTGTTGAACCCAAGGGGAGACTGCCAGGGGTGCAGAGTTCCTGGTGCCCTGGGATGTCCCTGAGGAGTGACCTCACCCCGTGACCTCCACCCTTCCTTGCTCCCCTTTGATCCCGTGTGCTCCTGGCACAAACTGTCCTATGGAGCTGTGATGGGTGCCACATGGTCTTCATTTGAAAGAATTTCCAATCAAATTTGCTCAGTTTAGAGATTTTTAACTTAAAATTTGTTTAAAACCCTTAACTGGCTCTCTATGGTCTGGCCGAAACATTACCCTGTCTTTGGTAATCCCAGGGAAATCCTGGTATCCCTGTGTTTGAGTGGAGGTGACAGACCCTGGAATCACCTGAACCTTGCTGCCCCTTCCTTCTTTTCCTCTTTATATTTAATATGTATCATAGGTTTATATTTTAATATGCAGAAGCCAAGTAAATATGAGAAACAAACTTCAATTTTAGGGGTAAATAGACTGACCTTTCTTTGGGTTTTGGGTTCTCCTTGGCCTTTAAAGTCAGTGGAATCATTTCATGCTTTGTGGTTGAAATACCAGGGTAAGATCTCCTCTCTTTTCAAGTGTTTATACATTAAAAAAGCACTTCAGGTTCACTGGGAGTAAGCATCTGCCATAATCTGATCCATTTTTGTTCAAAACCCATCAGTGTCTGCAAGGGGGAAGTGGGATTTAAATATGTACCCCAGAATTTCAGGGAATGCAGGATTTTTCATGTAGGAATTAATTTTCATTTAAAAAAAAAACAACTCCTGCACATCTCTGATGTGAAACTCTTCATCACCTTTGAATATTCCAACCTGAACCTAAAAATGGAAAGGTTTTGGTGCAGAGAATAACTGAGAGTTTTGTTGTTGTTTCAGATGGCAGTTGGTTTGATGTTGGCCTGAAATGCTTGTGACAAGATGTCTTTTTAATAAGGCAGATATTCTGTTTATGTTTAGACATTGATACCATGAGTCTGCTGTTGGATTTAGCAGCTGTGACATTTAGTGGTAAACACCATTAATGGTCCTTCAGCATAAAATTGGAATGAAATCTGACAAAACCAATTTATTTCTGCAGAAGAGACAAATGAAGCTCTTCAAAATGAAGAAATTGGCCACAAAGACGATGACCAGAATCCAGTTTCCACTGATAATGTGGTATGTTTACCTTTCCTTTTCCACCAATTAATAACTCCTTAATTAATGTTGAGGTTGTTGTCCAGCACTTGTGTTTTTCACTAGGTGACAACTTCAGTTGTGTGTGTTCAAAGTCCTTCCTATCTGAGCTTTAAAACTGTACTAAAAGTTCTAAAACACAGCAGGAAAAAGCCCTCAAACCTTCAATAGAAATGGCCTGGAGAGATGGTGCCCAAGAGACTCAGCTCCCCAACCTGCCTGAGCCCCAGATTTTGTCATTTGAGACAACAGTGGAACAAACCCAAGGAAGAGTTTCTGCATACTTTGTTCTGAAACACTGTAACAAAACTTTTTTAAAATGCACTTAAAATTGGATTAAAATACATTGTATTTGCATAAGAGATAGGGTTTTCCTATTTGAAATTCTAATCTGTTTCTTCCCCTCCTATCTTAAAAAGTGTGTCTGAGAAGGGGAATGTGAATGTTTGGCAGTTCTATAGAGACTCTTCCCTCAAGCTGAGTCTGAAACCAAAAATATTTGAGTCCCAGTGTTCCTGAGGGTCTGATGCAGCAGCAGAACTCGGGGACTTCAAAGCTCTGAGCTGTTGTCACTTCAGCTGGGCTGGCAGACACTGGAGCACACCAAATGTTCTTTATCCTCCCTGCCTTCAGCACAAGGCTTGGGAGCTTGGTGAGTCTGCCAGGGAGAGCTGGGAATGCCCCTGGAAGGATTTCTCCTCAGTGATTTCAGGGAAATTCCTGGTGTGCAGGCAGGAGGGACCACATGCTGCAGGAAAAACCTGAATTAGCACCTCAGGAATAACCCATGGACATGGATTGGGTCAGTGGTGGCCCTTCCCTACACTGGGTTAACCACCATCCTAAAAAATAGGAAAATTGCTTTAACTTATTGTGGAGAGGTAAAAAAACTTGGGACATATTTTTGAGTCTTAATCAGTGTTGATCTTGGCCTTAACACTGCTTTAGGTAGCTTTAGAAACCCAGTATAAAAAGCTCCCCAAATTGTTGTGAATTAGGTGAAAAATTGTGCATTTGGAAGTGTCCTTTGGATCAGCACCCCTACAGCTAAGGGCATTTCCCTTGCACTGTGGCCAGGGAGGGTCAGAGGAGAACTCTTGGATTTCTTTAGGGCAGGAGTAGCTCAGGATTTGCTGTGATGACTGGTTTATTCAGAGGGATAAATGTCCAGACCCTCCTTTACAACAACAGAGCAGAGCAGATAAATGTGCAACTTCAAGTCAAAAAGCTGGGCCAGGCAGCTCCTTCTCTGTAAACAGCCCAAGTCTCCATGGCAGCAGCTCCCACTGGATTCCTGCTGGATCTCCTGGCTGAGGTGCATGATTGCCATCTAATGGGGCTGCACTGCTCAGAACTGCTCAGGAGCCAGCACAGAGCTCTCCTTCCCTCCTTCCTCCTTCATCATTTATCCTTCATCCTTCCTCCTTCATCCTTCACCCTTCATCCTTCCTCCTTCATCCTTCACCCTTCCCTTCCTCCTTCCTCCCTCCTGCCCCTTTGGGATGTGGATCCCCATTTGTTTGTCTCCTCTGTATGTTGGAATGAACTGTCTGTTTCTATTTCAGAAAATAGAAATTTTGGATGATGAGGAGAGTGATCTGATCAGCAATTCTGAAGTGGATCAGATGAGTTCTCTTTTGGATTACAAGGTGAGTGATTAGGCCATGTCAGGGACAGCGGGATAATCCCCAGGGAGTTCAGGGGGTGGATCTGTCAGGAATTCAGCAGAAGCCTGTGGGATCCTGAGCTCCTCTGCTGTTTTCCCAGCGTGCACATCATGCCCTCATCCCACCTTCAGGCACTTTTCCCCTGTTTCAACCCAAATGGGTTGTATTTCTGAGTTTTAGTCAGTGTTAGCTTGGCCCTAACACTGTGCTTAAGGTATCTTTAGAAACTCAGTATAAAAAGCTCCCCACATTTTTGTCAATTAGGTAAAATGTCCATATTTATTCATTTGGAAGAGTCCTTTGGAAACCCCATTTCTACAGAGCTGCAGCTCCCTCCATATGTCCCAACAAGGGGATTTATGGAGCCATTCCAGCAGAATTTTCTTGGAATGCTGCAAGGCTTTTCCTGCAGCGTGGTGGGCACTGAACAACTGGAAGGAATCCTCTGCTGGAGTGGGGGGATCTGAGGAGAAGGCATTCGCCAGGACATGTCTGGGAGTGGTGGCTGTGGGAGGAGGAGAAGCACTTGGATCCTGCCAGCTCCTGCTGAGGGTTGTGTCTGTGCTGCTCTCCCAGGAGTCGCCACAATTCCACCTTTCCTTGGGCTTTTACCTCCATTGCTGATTTTTTTCCCCCTTAGAAACCAGGTCTGTTCTCCTGATAATAATCAATAAGCAAAATAATAAACAGATCATCTCTTCAGAACAGAAATTCCTCCTTCCAGCAGTGTTTTCCTGGGAAGGGCAGTGGAGAATGAATCAGGAGAGGGAATGACCTTTTCTTAATGTCACCTGTCAGCGCAGTGAGAGGCTTGTTGTGACAGTGCCCTGCAGAGCCAGGGCTTTGTGTGACAGCACTGATTGCTCCCTGAGTTTTCTGCCTAAACCTCAATTCTTCCTGGGCTGGGCAAAATCCAGAGCTAAACAGGCATCTGATAAGTATCCATAGGGAAGAACTCAGCTGATTTTTTATAGAAGCTTCAGAATTGCAGCCCAAATATTCCTCTCTCATTGCCGGAGCTGTTATCACCTGGAATAGCGTGGTGAGCAGGGCTTTCACTGAAAAAATGTGAATTTCCTGGGAAAAAAACCAACAAAAATACAACCATTTCTAAAGGTCTGTTGCAAACCTTTAGAGCATCATGTAGTCACAGCTTTTCACGTCAGCTAAAGCTGAATTCTAGCTAGTGTGAGCATGAATGTCATATTTTTTTTATTATTCTCTCATGAGTTGGTGCTATTAAGCAGAGCCCTTCTGCAAAAATGAGCAATGCCTTTGATCTTGTAACCTAAATAAACAGTTTGATTCTCATGATCTTTGCAAAAGTGAATAACCAGAGAAAATTAATTTTAGCTCTGCACTGATCAACAGGTTTAGCATTTTGATCCAATAAGTTTGGAAGAGAAGAGATACTTGGAATAAATGGAAATAGTTACCAAATCTGAATTTTTAATTAAGAGATTAGCAAGTATTGATTGGGAAAATGCCTTTTTAACCAAAGCACACAAATTATTGATATTTCTTCACTTTGTAATATATTACATCCAGTTCCAGCCCCATTAATCCACTCTGTGGAGGTTGGAACTAAATGATCTTTAAGATCCCTTCCAAACTGTTCTGTCAATTTGTGATATTCCTGCTTATTCTGTAAGCCAGGGGATCCTGAGGAGCTTGGTGAGCTGACAGTTGATCCACATCAAGCCCAGCTGCACTGGGGGATGTTATCTTTTAATTCGTGGTAGCTTTGAGGAATTTTCAAGTAATTTTCCCTGTTTTTTGTGTCAAGCCTTCTGCTGCAATAATGGAATTTATTCGCTGTCGCTTCTCTCAGCCCCTGATCACTTCTAGGTTGTCATTGTCACTAAAAATAGTTTGGTTTTAGCCCAGGGGTGTTCAGGTGTGGTTATTCCAATGCTTTGTCCTGTCCCCATCCCTGCAAGGATTTAACAGACACGTGGATGTGGCACTTGGGGACTTGGTCAGTGGTGGCCTTAGCAGTGCTGGGGAATGGTTGGGCTCAGAGGGCTTTTCCAGCCTAAAGGATTCCATGGTTCTGAGGTCATTCCCAGAGCTCTCTGTTCCCCCACAGAATGAAGAAGTCAGGTTCATCGAGAGCCAGCTGGAGAGCCACAAACAGAAATATTTTGAACTGCAGACATTTACCCGGAGTTTGATACTTGCAATTAAATCAGATGATAAGGAACAGCAGCAGGTAAATCCTGGAACAGGTTTAATACCTGTGTTTAATACCAGATGTTTGTCCTTTTGTGTTGCATCCCTCCCTTGGGTTTACTCCAGAGGCTCAAATTATGATTGAAAATCTCAAATAATTTTCTCACTCTTTGTTTAAATCACTGCTTGCCCGAGCTCACCTCTAGGTCAGGGGTGGCTCCGTGTGGTGGAAAAACTTCTCCTCCAAGCCGAGCTTCCAAGGAAAAGCTCTGCAGCCTCTGTTGTTTGGTCTCAAGGCAGTTTATTGCAAGTTATCTAAAAGATTTTCTTCTGGGGCTGCTGTGGTTGCTCACAGCTCAGGCAGAGGCACACACACACCCTGACATCCTCTCTGACTCCCGACTGCTTCTTCTCTCCCCCTCTGCCCAGGGCTGCTGCTGTCTTTTATATGGTACATTTTACATGTTTACAGTTTTTCCCCAATGCCCATTACCTATATTAAATGGTGCTTTTCTACTCTAAACCAATCTGTGAGTGCCAACATCACCAAGAACATGGAGGTAAGGAAGGAGAAAGAGGAAGGACACGACAGGCCCAAATCCCTCCATCTTAAACCCTCTGACCCCCATGTACAAAACCAAAACCCCCTGTACAGCACTCAAAAATTCTTCCCTTTACTTTGTGACTACTTCTACTGTAATATCTAAACTTTTGTGACTTCTTGTTCTTCCTGCAAGGTTGGTAAATCATTCCATTGTTCAAACCCAAAATCACAGCTGTTTCCAGCTGCTGCCAGGGTCTCAAATGCTTCTGAGCTGGGCCTGGAACCTCCAAAAATGTCTGAGGGACATTTTGAGTTCCGACAACTGCTGACATCAAAACCACACCTAGCAGTGTATATACCATATATTAGGTATGTTTTTCCTTTGTAGGCTCTGCTTTCAGACTTACCTCCTGAACTTGAAGAGATGGATTTCAACCACACCTCCCCAGAGCCCGACGATACCTCATTCAGCCTCTCGTCGCTGTCGGAGAAGAACGCCTCAGACAGTTTGTGATCCCTGTTCTGCAGGATCACAGCCTCAGACAGTTTGTGATCCCTGTTCTGCAGGATCACAGCCTCAGACAGTTTGTGATCCCTGTTCTGCAGGATCACAGCCTCAGACAGTTTGTGATCCCTGTTCTGCAGGATCACAGCCTCAGACAGTTTGTGATCCCTGTTCTGCAGGATCACAGCCTCAGACAGTTTGTGATCCCTGTTCTGCAGGACCACAGCCTCAGACAGTTTGTGATCCCTGTTCTGCAGGAGACAGAGCACAAACCCCACGGGAGGTGCAGGGCTCAGGGGACAGAGAGAGGCTTTTGCTCTGCAGAGTTCTCAGCCTGTGCTGGAGGGCAGCTCTGGCTCCTCACAGCTTTTGCCCAGCAATTGGCAGCGCTGGGTTTGGAAAATCAAAGAACTGGGTGAGGGAAGGGTTCACTGGTAGCTTGGCCTTGGGTAGGATTAACTTTGACTCTCCAGAACAACTCTGTAGCAAAGTCTTTTTGAGCGGGGATGGAAGAATGGGAAACACACGCAGTGAATTCTCTAGCTCCACATGCTCCCCAGGCCTGTTTATTATATTTTTCCCCATTTTTACTCAGGTAGGTGGACTAAAAATTGGGGATCCAAATAGAATAACGGGCTTTCTCTGAGTTGTGCTTGAAAACCTGAAATTAAACTGAAGTGTTTTTCGTTTTCTGATTTGAGATTGTTAAATCTTCCATTTTTCTGACCAAAATAGCTGAAAAACCTTGAAAGGCTAACTGAAGAAATTGAATTATCATGAATAAATTATTAATGCAAAGAAGCAGTGATAAGTGTTGGAAGAAATTAGGTGGAAATGGGAACCCTGATAGCTGCAGGACACAATTTCCTAATACAGTAGCAATGGGATTGGATGTTTACACTCTTTAGAGTTTAATGATTGTAGTCTCAGTTTTTATTTGTTAAAGCCTGAATACTAAAGTACTGCTTATTATTTTAATTCTTGGGTTTATGTTTTTCCACAAACTTTGCTCCAGTTTACCAAGCCAGTCAGAATTCCACAGCTGTCATTGCATCCTGAAAGGTTTTCCAGTGTTGGAAGTGTGCTTTGCAGATCTGCTTTGAAGCCCTGCCTGGTGCATTTTTTGGCAAGTGCCATTTCTAAATTGTGATCTGGATTGCAGGCAGGGGCTGAACTGAATTTCTTCTTTCCCAGAGCTGTTGGCACTGAGTCCCATCTCTCCTGTGGTGGAATGGCTGTGCAGAGATGCTCAGGTGGATTCAGTGGGGTGTGTTGGAGTCCAGGGAATGCCTGGCCATGGCAGTGGTGCTGTGGTTGAGTGACAGGGTGGTGACCAGTCCAAGGCAGGTCTCAGTCCTGGAGCTCTTCTCCTCCAGGATGGTTCTGTGGGATGCTCCTTGTCCCTGCCCATGGCATTGATGCTCCAATTCTAACCTGGATTTCCCTCAGCAAGCATTTTTCACACAGATACTTCAGTCTGGTAAAAAACCTGATCTTCCCATTTTATGCCAAATAATAATTGACTCTGGGGAGTCTTTGTTCATGCAGTAAGTTACCCCCTTAATTTCAGTGGGAGGTCCAAGGTGTAGCTCAGAAAATCCAGAGTGTTAGGGAAATAACACCTTTTTTTTCCTTTAATACTGGGATTAGACTCAGGTTTTAGTGTTTTCTCAGTCTGATCAGTTCCTCCCTAATCACTTGTACAGCTCTTTTTGTTTAGTATCAGTAGTGAGCTCTGTTCTTTCAGGTTTTTAGTCTCTCCTCTCCTTGGGCATGAGGAGCTTTTAGCAATACTGTAAAATACCAGCTGCAGAAAGGGCAGGAATGGTTTTAAAAGGTGTTCTGGAAAACCAAAAGTCTCTCAGTTCTGCCACCTGTACAGTTCTGTAAGTTCCCAACAGAGCTGCCCTTCCACAGGGAAAGCCCAGAGCTCCAGGCTGTGTGTGAGCTGAGGCATTAAACTCTGAGTGGAAATGAGGTTTGTGAGCAGAGCTCACAGTGCTGTCCTTCACAGGGAGGACAGAGCTGAGCTGGAATTCTCTGAAAAACTATTTATAAAGGGTTTTCTATGCCAGGCCGACAATGGTTTCTATTGCTGTTCTCTTTAGACAGGAAATTTGTGCCACTGATAATGAAACCTCTTGTTTTCTGTGACATTTACATAAAACAGTGCTGGGATTTGCCACTATTTGGACCCTGTTTTCCTGCTTCTTCCACTTGAATTCCCATGAGAGAGGGCAGGATACTCTTAACAGGAGTTCTCAATTTCATGGTCAATTAAATCATCTGCCTTCCTGCAAGAAAAACTTCCATTGATGATTCCTATTTTGCTGTCTTGCTGCTATTTCATACCCAAACAAATCGAAGGACTGAATTTTGAATGAACTGTTTGCTGGATACAAGCAATGATGTCAGTCCCTGTTCTCCAGGAGGCTGGAATCCTCTTGGATGTGCAGCTGAGACGAGCTGGGCAAGGCCCACCCCATCCCTGGGCATGTTCTGTGGTCCCTTCTCCTGTCAGGGGACAAAACACAGCCTGGGACACTTGACAACACTACAGGATAGTCAGGGAAAAGAGGATTAATTCTATCCCTGAATAGCAAAATCTGTGGAGAAAGATGCTGCACAGCTCCTTGGCTGGTTTTTTCAGTGTCAGTGTGTATTTCCAACAAAAATCGAGCTGCTACCATTAGTGGTGGTTACATGTTGGTGGAGAGCAGTGGGGTGGCTGTGGGGTGGGTTTAGGTTCAGGATGTTTTCCCTGTCTGCAGGACAGTAACAAACACCTGCAGCAAGTGCAGTTCATCATTCCATGACCTTCCACAGGAGATGAAGCTCATGCTGTGGTTTTCAGGGTGACAGAAATCAGCCCCTCTCAGTCCCAGTGAGTGACTGTAATGTGAATTATCACTGCAGCAGAAGGGCCTCGTGCTGGTGGTTTCATCACCTTCCTGTGGCCATGGAGCAATGTTTGACCACCCTGCACAGTGTCTCATTTGCTTTGTCCATGAACAATGACTTCCCTGGCATTGTTCATTCCTAAAGCATCCATGGGAGCATCAGTGATGTCTTTCTGAAGAAACCCAGGTGGGAAAGCAGCCCAGAACAAACACTTTACCCAGAGGCAGGACAGGCTCTCCCTGGGGAGCTGCTTTTGATGCTGGAAGGATGAAACCCTATTTCCTGGAGCTCTGCCTGCTTCCCTCTCCCTGCAGGCGATGCTTCAGTCACATCCATAGGTCTGACAGGAGTGAAAGTAGCAGGAAATACTCCAATAAAATAATAAATACCCCAGAAGGTGAATTTGGAGCAGGTTTAAAGATACCTGAACAGATGAACCGTACGAGGTTACTGGAGTGCCCTGGAGGCAGCTCTGCACTTTAATCTCTCCAAGTATTTCTTTTCACTAAGGCAATAAAAAAAATGTGAAATGAGGAGTTTGGGGCTTTGCAGCCCTGTGAGTGAGGAAAAGAATGTCCTGGTTCTGTCCTCGCCTTGAGCTGGGCAGCAGCTGTGGAGAGCCTGCTCCCCAGGGGGAGAAGCTGCTGGGCTCAGACTGGTGAGTGCTGGAACAAACCAGCAGCATCCTGGACATCCTGGCTTGGGCATGGGAATCCCTGCTCCAGATGGGTCTGCCCTCCCTGAGGGACCTCCTGTGTCCCTGACACTGAACCCAGAGTCCTGCACAGCGCTGACCCTGCTGGCTCTGCGCTCAGGCTGTGGGGAGGGACAGCAATGTGCACAGAAAAAGGGAATAGCACAGAATTCCTGGCACAGGAGCAGTGCATAACCTGTGCCAGCCCAAAGCTTGGTGTCCAACTGCAGCCCCTGCCCAGCTCCCCCAGCCCAGGGGCTGAGGGCTGGAACCTGGCCAGACTCTGCTTTTCTGCCCCAAATCTGAGCAAAGTTAGGGGTGCTCAGTGAGCAAACTCCACCTGGCTGCAGAGAACACCAGCTGGATGGTGGTGGTGGATTCCTTTCATCAAGAATGTTTTACCACATTGACCAAATGTGAAATCTGAAAAGTTTTGGGGAGAAAAAAAGTAGTCCAAGCAGCACTACAAAATGGGTGTTTTCCATGGAAGAACAGGAGTTTAGAGTATTTATTGCTCTGAAAACCAGCAGCTGCTTTGGTCAGAAGGCAACAGAAACAGGGCAGAGCCTTGGGCTTGTGGGGGTTCTTTTCCCACAGAGGAGCAAATCCTCCTGGCTGAAGGAGGTGTTGGAGGATGTTCCTGGAAGGAAAACAGTTCAGGTCAGTGCTTTGGCTCTGGAACACTTTCCCATGTTACTGAACTAAGTCACTAACTCTTTTCCAGCTCTGTTTTACATTTTACACAACGCTACCTCTGAAATGTGACACCCCTTAAACCCACACAGAAAATGTGAACTTAGGAATTTTTTTTTTAACCTTTTATAGGCAATAAATTATTCCCAACATGCATCCCTCAGTTTGTGTTTGGTTTTTGCTCAGTGTGAGCCATCACTTTGCTTTTATTTTAATGCAATTTTTCTGTATTTGTGTTCATCACAATCCACGGAGAAGGAAATAATGGGATAATGGGAGAAAAGCTTAGCATATGTTAATGGGAGAAAATATTTCTGTTAAAGCTGAAAAATGGTGGGGTGGCTGTGCTGGTTTTGGTGCAGTTACTGTGAGAAATGGGTGTTATCCTTAATTCTGGTATTAATGATTGTTGGAACACTGCTCAGTGCATCAGATATCTCAATCTGAGAGAGCAGTCAGTGATCTCAGCACTGTGAGGAAAAGGGTTTTACACTCTCTGAGACATCACCCTTCATAAATACCTCCACAGATTTTTGTTTCAGTTGTTTCCTTTTTTCTCCATAACTTCATTGAGACCTTGTAGAAAGGATTTTGAAGTGTTAAAATGGGTCAGTAACAAAGTGAGGTCAAATGTAGATTTAGACCATGCTTGTATTCAAGTTTCATCTGAAAAGGGGTCCTTGAATTTCCCCTGTCCCATTTCTCTCCCTGGAGCACAGGGGGAGGGTGGCAGGATGCACGAGGGGATGAGGCACAAGGAGGCAGAAATGGAGGTTCTGGGCTTTAGTCAAGAAAATTTCAATAAGCTAAAAGGTTTCTGTGCTGTGGAAAACAAGAGCTTCTCCTTTATCTGCAGATTTTGTGAAATACCGTTCAAAAAGTCATTGGCAAATCCACCCAGTTGTGCTGGGAGAAAATTGTCTTCTCCAGTAGGAATTTTATAATTTCTGGGGTTATTTCTGGAATTACTGAGTGTGTGTGAACACACAGATGCAGATTTATAATGTGCACAGATACACTGAACTTGATCACAGTAGCTCTACAAAGGTATTTTAACTTGAAATGTTAATGGAATTCTTCTCAAATATATTTCATTTGCTCTTATTTTTGTGTCTTGCTGCATATTAATTGCATAGTTCTGAAAATTAGTCAAATACATCCATACAAAGATGGTTTATGTCCTTGCAACTGGTAACTTTTAGGCTTGGAAATTTATGAAAATGCCCATAAAAATGATATTTCTAAGTGATCTTGGCAAATAAACCAACTGCTGTATTTATGAAGAGATAATGAATCTTCTGCTGTGATAATTTCTGCTTTATTTTCACTGTAGGAATCAGTTTCATTTTTAAAAATATTCTGAAAATTTAAATATTACTGTATAACTTGGATGTTTTCCTTCGCCTACAAAACAGGATAATTGATGATTTTAAATCTTTTATCATTTCCTTTTGGGCCAATTCCTTACGCTTTGTAACCTGAGCATATTCTTAAGTTTCTGTGTGAAAATCACTATTTATATTTCACTTTTATGATTTGTATCAGTACGTGTAGCAAAGAAACTACTACAAACCTTTAACTGAAGTACCTCCACTATGGTCCAGGACACCTGATCTGGGCATTTGGAGTGCCAGATGCCCAGAGAAACAGTCCAGACGTTTGTATTGAGTTGGTTTTCTGTGTATATAAAGGGTATTTATAATCTTGTATTAACAGAGTCATCATTGGAAATGCTGATTTCCTGCTTTAGAAGCCTGCTCAGCTATTTTTATATAAAACGTTGGTCTTCGCCTTAATTTTTTTTTGGTGAAAAGTTGTGCCATAGATATTTTAACTTATCCACAGATCCTTTACAGAGTTTGCTTTGACTTCTCTTAATTAATTATTTTTTCCTCAAATTGTCCTAATTTGTTTTCTCTTCCAAATTCATCTCAAGGTTGGTTTGCTTTCTTAATTTTTTTTTTTTTTGGAAGTTTTGGAAGATCCTTCATCTGCATGCTTTGGTAGCTCAAATTTTTCCTCTGTAGTTTATTGTTTATAGTTTAGAAGAACCTTTTATTGAAACCCCCCAAAGTAATGCTTGTACAAATGTATTTAGGGTGGCCCAGATGGTCAGAGAAAAGGGCTAATTTAGCATTGGTAAATTTGTCTACTGACTCAAGGATATTTTTCTACGTCTGTCAAGTTTGGGACTATGGAGAAATGAAATAAAGGTGAACTAACTCCTTTTCCTATATGAACTTCTCAGTTTCTGTCTTTATTAATGGCCTTGTAAATGTTCAGTTCTGTTCAGAGCAACAAGAATTAAATCCACATCAGGGCTCAGCCCTAATTCTTCAGTTCCCACCATATAAATTAATTTATCATTTACGGAGTGGCTTTTCAGAATTGGAGTTTATAGAGACCTTGGAGCCCTGTCCCAGGAGCAGTGAAATGTCCCTTCCCAAAGTGGGGTTGGAAATGTCCCGTCCCAAAGCGGGGTTGGAAATGTCCTGTCCCAAGCGGGGTTGGAAATGTCCCTTTTCAAAGCGGGGTTGGAAATGTCCCTTCCCAAGCGGGGTTGGTTTGAAATGTCCCTTCCCAAAGCGGGGTTGGAAATGTCCCTTCCCAAAGTGGGATTTGTGTCCCACGGAGGCGCTGCCCGCCCAGCACTGACCCCGCTCGGTTCCCGGGAGGGGCTGAGCTCTGGGGATTTTCTAATTCTGTTTTTGAGCTCAGTGAGAGCTCTTTGTGCTCCTTTCAGCCCATCCCTTGCCATTCCCTGAGTTAAAAATCTCCAGCGATAAATCCTGTGGCCGCTGCCCTGCGCCCCAACCCGCGTGGATGGAAACGGGCAATTCCCCGGAGCTGCTGCGTGCCGGGGCTGGAAGGGGCAGCGCGGCTGTGCTGGGGACGGGAGTGAAACTCAATCCCAGCCCGGGAGCGCTGGAAAAGGGCCCGAAGGGACCGCACGGAGAAGGCTTTGGTGCGGCAGGGATGCGGGAGCGGGGTGCAGTTCCCAGATCCCGCAATTCCCGCATACCACAGCTCCCGGATCCTGCAATTCTAGATCCTGCAATTCCCGGATTCCGCAGCTCCCGGATCCCGCAGCTCCCGCATCCCGCAATTCCCTCATACCACAGCTCCCGGATCCTGCAATTCCCGGACCCCGCAATTCCCTAATCCCGCAGCTCCCGGGTCCCGCAATTCCCGCATCCCGCAATTCCCAAATCCCGCAGTTCCCGCATCCCGCAGCTCCCAGCTCTCGCAATTCCCTAGTCCTGCAATTCCCACATCCCGCAATTCCCACATCCCGCAGCTCCCGGGTCCCGCAGCTCCCGCATCCTGCAATTCCCGCATCCTGCAGCTCCCGCATCCCGCAATTCCCGCATCCCGCAATTCCCACATCCCGCAGTTCCCGGATCCCGCAATTCCCACATTCCGCAATTCCCGCATCCCGCAATTCCCACATCCCGCAGCTCCCTGTTCCCGCAATTCCCGCATCCTGCAATTCCCACATCCTGCAATTCCCGGACCCCGCAATTCCTGGATCCCGCAATTCCCGGACCCCGCAGTTCCCCCATCCCGCAGCTCCCGCATCCCGCAGCTCCTGGCTCCCGCAATTCCCGGATCCCCCAAATCCCGCATCCCGCAGTTCCCACATCCCGCAATTCCCGCATCCCGCAATTCCCGGGTCCCGCAATTCCCGGGTCCCGCAATTCCCGGACCCCGCAATTCCCGCGGGATTTGTTAAGATTTATTAACAAATGTTCCTGGGAGCCCTAACGCGGGTGTTTTGGGAAAAAAAACGAGTCGGGATTTTGGGGAAAAGCCGAGTCGTGTGGAGCTGCAGCTCCATTGCCACCTGGTGGCAAAAAACCCCGGGAATTGGAGAAAAATGCCTTGAACTGTCCCCGTACTTCGTATTTCAGGATGGACAGCTGTTTTTGTCTCAATGAAGAATCAAATATTAAAATAAATCTGGCATTTAGTAAAGAGGAGGAGGCTGAGATCAGACTGAAGGTGCAGCCATAAACCAGGAGCACTTTCCAATTTAATTTCTACACGTGGATTTAGGTTTGGGAGCACCGAAGCTGCTCCGTGGGATGAGGTGATGTGTGGCCAGCAGGGACAGCTCAGGTGGCCACTCCAGCTCCATGTTCCTGCTGCAAGGAGTAATGGAAAGAGCCATGGGAGGAGAAAGAAACTGGGAAAAAAAGGTGTTTTCTGGTTATTTACGTGCAGTTGTTATGTCAGTGGGGAGGTAAGGGTAAGAAATGTGAATTTTTATAGATTTTACCTACTATTTGATCTTGCTCTTTGGTTATATCTTCCTGGAAGTCTGGAATAATCTTGGACTGTGGAGAATTTTTTTCACTAGAAAAAGCTCATTTGACTTTTTTTGAAAGAAAAATTCTGCCCAGCCTCAATCTTCCCTGGCAGTCTCCTCTTTTCTGTTGAATGTGAAATTTTCAATTAAAAGCCCTTTACCTCTTTCTTCTGAAGGTTTTGGGCTCAGTCAGAATTCAGGGGATTTGAAGTGAATTTGAAGGAGTCACCCAGCAGGTCCCACCCCCTCAAGGATGGACAGGAGAGCCCATTTTGGGAAAGCCAAATTCTTGGAACGGCACTTGGGAAAAGACACCCCATCAGTCAATGACCATGGGTTAATTAACCTGGATTTAATGTTCTGCTAATCATTTTACAGTTGCAAACCCATTTCAACCAAACCCCCCCAGGCCACCGTTCCCATAATAGTAATAAATGGCTCACTGTGATCCAAACTATAAACAGACTTCATGAATTCTGCCAGAAATTGAATATTGAATTATTTCTCTATGCCCACATGTCTTTCCTGGTTTGCTTAATTCTGCCAAATATTTAGCTCAGCCTTCTCTTCTCTCAGCAACCCACACTCTCCCGGCTACATCATCCCATTTTTGGACCATTATTTAAAATTTCAGGCTCTTTACAGAGCCTGGCCAAGGAATCAAAACTGGTCAGGGAAGAAGGAAAGAGCTGAAGGAGTTCAGCTCCTGGGTGGAGATCTGCAGAAAGGCTGGCACAGCCTCCCTGGTTTAGCCCTTTTTGGGAAAAATCCTACTGGAAAGTGTCTTTTCCCTTGTCTGGTCTGTGGGAACAGGATGGGCACATTTTTGTGTGTTGTACAACCACACTTCAGAAATATATAGATTTTCTATTGTTTAACATACTCATTAATCTATTTTTTTCATACCAAACCCTGGAGTGTGTGGCTGAAAATGCCATTTCTTGCTGCCATGGGAGGCTGTGAGCTGGCTCAGTGCTGCTCTGCTCTGTGTCCTCAGCAAGGAGCAGGACTCACAACTTTTAGAGCAAGTGCTGCTGATGGCCTGAAGATGGGTAGAAAATATTGACAAAATAGGTCAGCAATTAGCAATAAAAGCCCCTTAATTTGTACAAACTTGTCTTTACTCCCCAATAAAGATTCCTATCACCTTTGCAGATTGTTTTTAGTCGGTTTTCCCCTCTATAGTTCAGCTGAAGAAGCTGAGCTAAGATACAAAACCGTGGAGGAGTGCCCTGATGTGGCCTGGCCAGGGGAGCAGGAGCAGCTGGGGCTCCCTGGGCCATTCCCTGCCCTGCTGCCAGCCCAGGGACAGGGCTGGGGACAGGGATGGGGACAGCAATGGGGACAGCAATGGGGACAGCAATGGGGACAGCAATGGGGACAGGGATGGGGACAGCAATGGGGACAGCAATGGGGACAGCAATGGGGACAGCAGTGGGGACAGGGACGGTGGCAGTGCCAGCTGCTCGCTGCTCCCACGCCGGAGCCGTGTGTTGATTCACTCTGTAATTGATTTGGGCAACTCGAGGCAATTGGTTTCCAAGATACCACATCCTTCAGATATTTAAAACCCCTCTCCCTGGCAGTGTATTATATTTAAATGTCGATGGATGATCCGGGTGTGTATTTATAGCCACGCTCAGATGGGCTCTGGGCAGGGAAGGGTGAGTGGCTGGAATCCTGAGGGGGCTGGGGCAGGGGGGCCCCTGAGTCACCCCAAAATCAATTTCTCACCATGGCTCAATGCATCAGAGGTTCTGCTGGCTCCGCCACGCTGGGGCTCAGTGCAGCCCCAGTTAACAGCAGGCCATGAGCACTAATTAGAGACTGATTTCAGATTTTCCCTCACAAGTGATTCCAGATTTCCCACCCAGGGGCAGTGACTGGTCCAGCCAGGTGAGGGACGTTTTGTTTGCTGTTCCTGTGGCTCACACAGGGATCACTCCCTTCCAGCAGCGAACGTTGGCTTCCTGGATAAAGCAAATTTCCAAAGAAGAGAGAGGAAACTGCTGTGATCTCACTCTGGATGTCCAGAAAAAAAAAAAAAAAAAAGTAGAAATATTGGTTAAATCAGTTGAGTATTGAGACCTGGAGCTGCACACACATCTTGTGAGCTCAGGGTTTCAATGCCTGGAAAGAAAACTTGTGTGGGTAGAAGAGGGGACAGCTCTGAGGCAGGCAGGAGAGGCAGAGGTAACCTGGAGAGGGGTGGGGACAGGGACACACAGGTCACCCATCCTGGAGCAGCTCTGCAGGAAGTGCCTGGAGAGGCAGAGCTCCCAAATCCTGCTTTGGGCTTCTCCAGCAGGAGGAACACTCACCCGAATCCTGAGACCTGGTATGAGCCCAGCTTGGGCAGTGCAGAGCTTTCCATGTTTTAGCCCAAAATGAGCTGTGAAATACACTAAGAACAGAGTTAAAACAAAAGCTTGGATTTGTGGCCTCCCACCTTTGCCACCATCACGATTTGGACTTAGAGGGGAGATCCAAGATCCAGGCTCACACATCAGCCAAAGCCTGGACTCGATGCCTCAGAGCTCTTTTCCAGCCCAGAGGATTCTGTGAAATCTCCTTTCATCCATCCCTTGGGCGTGGTGGCCTCAGGTGGCCACAGCAGGAAGGGAACAGGACCCATCCAGCTGCAGAACCTTTGGAACTGCAGGAACCAAAGGTTCAACTGAGACACAAAGTGCACCATGGAGGGAGGGAAAGTGGCAAAACCAGGAGAAGATTTGGGAATGCTCAGAGTGTCCTCCATGGAAATCTCCTGGGGAGAGAGGAGGAGCAGCTGGGAATGGGAGCAGAACAGAGCAGCGCTGGGCTGGGAGGGCTGGCCCTGGCTGACCCCTCAGGAGGCTCAGAGCTGTCACCTGAAGTGTCACCCGGTGTCACCCAGGGACGTGCGAGCGCTGACGGCGCTGCCCGTGGGAGTAGCTGTGGGCTGGCATGACGGGGGATTTTTAGCTCAGTAAGGAAAAAAATAAAACCCGACCTTTTTTTTGTTTGCTTCGAGCCTCACTATGAGCTGCATATTGTGGACTTTTCACTGGAATGTTTTAGGAGTGGAATACGTGCAAGGAAAGGAAAATCTGTGCACAAAACTATGATTTGTATTAAAAGCAAAGTGTAGTAATAAGCAAAAATTAAAATACAATCCATTAGAAAATCCCCTGCTTAAGAGGTGTGAAAAGTTTTTTTACTCTTATCTACTAATAATGTTAAGTTACTCTTTTTTTTTTTTTTCTTTTCATATCCTAAAGTTTTTACAATGACAAGTATTTTTGCTGGAAGCATTTCTTAGTTTAATGCATGAGAGCTTGAACAGATCCCAGTCATGCTTTGGATAAACTGAGTCATTCCAGCTTTCTCATGTCAAGATCTGACCTTTGATAACTTTAATTTACGCTTTTTGGGTGACTCCTTGAACTGCCTCAAGGTGTATTGCAATTTACAGTATAACCATAGATGATTATATATGTGTGTCAGGCTGACCAACCTGCTGGTCAGTGAGGGGTTAGAGACACATGTAAAAGTTCAGACTGTGATTTCCAGCTCAAAAACATCTCGATAGAGGAGGGAATCTGGTCTTTGGGAGGTGTTTATAGGACACAGAGTGGGTTGGGGTGGGAGAGACCTTAAAGCCCATCCAGTGCCTCCCCTGCCATGGGCAGGGACACTTCCACTGTCCCAGGCTGCTCCGAGCCCTGTCCAGCCTGGCCTTGGGCACTGCCAGGGATGGGGCAGCCACAGCTTCTCTGTGCCCGCTCAGAGAGAAGAATTTTTGGCTAATAACCCACCTAGCCCTGCTCCCTGGCAGTCTGAAGCCATTCCCCCTGTGTCCAGGCACGCAGTCGCTCTCCATCATCCCTGTGGCACTGGAAGGCCACGATGAAATCTCTCCTCCAGCCTGAACACCTCCAGCTCTCCCAGCCTTTCCTTCAGCAGAGCTGCTCCATCCCTCTGACCATCCTGGTGCCTCCTCTGGAATATTTCAGTGCTGCTGAGCTGCAGGGCCATCACAGCTGCTCTGGCAGCCACTTTTCCCAAGGAGCCCCCAGAGCTCCACGGCCGTGCCAGGAACGGCAGCAGCAGCCAAGGTGTGTGCAGGGAGCTCTCCCTCTTTTCCAGCTGTACGCAGCAGAACGAAGCAGAGATGTCACTGTGACAAGCCAAGAGCTCTGAAAAAGCACTCCCAGAGTCTCCAAGCGAATTTGGAGGAAGCCAGAACCGCGGGCTCGGAGTTAAAACAAACAAGCAGACAAACAGGGAATGACAATTTTGGGCTCCCCTGAGCTTCCCGCAGCTCTCGGCGGGTTCAGCAGATCCATCACAGTGACACGAGGGGAGTCAGAGGGAAATGCTGAGTAATCAGTGTGGCATTTTATGGTGGAAAAATCCTTTGTGGAGAAAATATTTATGGAAAAATGTTCCATACAGAAAATTGATACCATGTGTTTATCCCATTAAAACCTTATCTAAGGGGTCTGGGGGTCTCCTGCTGGTTCTGTGCTCAGGTAATCATTTCCCTCCCTCAAAAAATGCCATTAGTTGAGTCCATTGGGTGTACAAAATGCCATTAATTGAATCCATTGGGTTGATTGAGTCCAAAAAAATGCCATTCATTGATATAAAATGGGTTCATAATTTTATTTGTAGCATTAATACAGATGGAATCATCTCTGAGTGAAAACATCTTGCACCTAGAGTGCTAAAGAACCAATATTAATAGCTAGGTGCAACATAAAATACTTTATAATTGTCTTATTAAAATGCATTAAGCAATGAGGACTTTGTCATAACGGAAGAAGTACATTACTTCTGTTGCTGCCAGCTTAATGATTGTGCTTAATCACCCATTGTTTGGTGATTGAAAATTTGGAAAGGTGTTCTAATTTAAATTTTGAAGCATTCTCAGAGTTCATGTGCTTGTGAAAGGCATTGTTGGAAGGCAGTTGTGGCTCTCACAAAGGCACAATCTCGCAGTAAATCCAAGTTGCTGCTCTCCCAGCCACACGCTGCCTCAAGCCCTCGCTGCTGAGCTCAGGGACAATTTTAGATATCATTTAACAAGGCTGACTTCTTTTTTGAGTTAATTTGAACTTCAGCCCTTGATCATCTGCCTCTGTTTATGTGCAGTTAAATTGAAAATTTTCAAAGTAATATTTTGCTGTGAATATTGGAAGTATTTTAATTCTGACTATCTCTTTCAATGGTTCCTGTAATTACAAGGTACGTCATTCATTTGAGATTTAAATCTGCTTCCTTCCCACACAAACCCAGCATTATTTCTTTTTTCCTTGAGATTACTGTTAACAGATTTTAAAAGTGAGGCTTATTAATTTTTTGTATTAAAAGAGCAGATCCTCCTCTTTTGAAGAGTCCTGCCCTGGTGCTTTTTGCCGGCCTTCCACCTTCCAGGGGTGACACCACACTGTGTTTGTTGCAGGAAGAAAAATCAAAGGTTGCTCTTCCTCCTTTTACAAGGTAAATATTGCTGCTAAGAATTGCATTATTTGAACTTCAAAAGGGCACCAACTGGTGAAACATAGGCTGGAGCTGAGTTTTGTAGCTTTGTTAGGGAGGTTGAGGTACCTCACCAGAATTATCCTTGCTGTTTACAGGTGATTTCTGCACTCTGGCTCTGCTGGGCTGTGGGTTAGAGCCATTCTTTACAAGTCTGACCTCATCCTGTGAGATGTTTCCTCCATTGAGTGCTCCTGCTTCTCACTGAAGCCAATTCACAGCATCTACTAAAAACCCTCCCATTAAGGGCGGTGAGGATCTGCCTCTCACACAGTGTGGACTGGATTTTTTCCTGATCACTGAAATTCTGCTCTTCTGTCATTTTTTTTACCACTTTCACCTGTTCTGCCACAGCTCCATCGATGCCTGTGACAGGAGAAGAAACTCTTTCAGTGTCAAACTCAACTTGTTGAAGACTTTTCATCATTGCTTGTCCCTGTAGATTTACAGCAAAGGAGGGAATATGACAAAGAACTGGCAGTGGTGGTGAGCCCTGTCCCTCCTTACTCAGCACTCCACTGCCCCGTGGCTGCTGTTGGTTATTAAGGACAAGGTAATGACCTGCAAAGTGTTTTGTGGCATTTCCTTGTAGGAAAGACACCGATTAAAGATCCATTGCCTGGAAATTGCTGCTTCAGACCTGTCCTGGATGTGACTGGGACAGTGTTGACTTTGCTGGAAGTGCTGTGCTGTTGGATAGTGTTGGAGGATGGGCAGTGAGTGAACTCCTGCAGAGCAGCACAGGATCCCAGAACCCCTGAGGCTGGGAAAGACATCTGGGATCTGGAATCCAGCCTGGGACCGACCCCCGCCTTGTCACCAGCTCAGAGCACTGAGTGCCACATCCAGCATTCCTTGGACACCTCCAGGGGTGGGGGCTCCAAACCTCCCTGGGCAGCTCCTGCCAAGGCCTGAGCACCCTTTCCATGGAGAAATTCCTGCTGCTCTCCAGCCTGAGCAGCTTGAGGCTGTTTCCTCTTGTCCTGTCCCTGTTCACTGGGAGCAGAGCCTCCCCTGGCTGTCCCCTCCTGTCAGGAGCTGTGCAGAGCCACAAGGTCCCCCTGAGCCTCCTTTTCTCCAGGCTGAGCCCCCTCAGCTCCCTGGACTGCTTCTGGTGCTCCAGCCCCTTCCCCAGCACCGTTCCCTTCTCTGGAAATGCCCTCAGTGTCTTTCTGGCAGTGAAATCAGGAGCAGGCTGGAGTTCTGGCACGTTGACATTCTGTATTTAACACACCAGGTGAGCCCAGCTGAGGGAAACACGAGTTAGAGGCAACTTGCATCGTTCCTTAGTCTTTTCAACAGCCCCGTTGTGGCTCCAGAGGCTTCTCAGCCTAGTAAAGAGTTTCAGGTTAGTTCTAGTCACTTACCTGCTCATCTACATATATAATACTGTTATTTGTCTAATTGTTTCTATTCTTGTGTGTTTGCTATGTAAAAATGCAGTAAAGCCATTATGCAGGAAAAGAAAAGTGGTTGAGATGATTATTCTCTTATCAGTCATGACTAAGATGAAGAGAGATATACCAGCAAGACATTGTTCCTAAAATAGATATCTTGCAAACAAGAAATGTCAGTCAAATGAGGTTTAAATTAAATTCCTGATAGCAATTACTTACAGAATTATCATGCTCCCATTGAAATTATTATGAATATTGTCACCAGACTTAATGGGAAAAGAGCTTGGGCTTAAGAGACTGATTCTGAAACATATTCCAGAATGTGCTCAGCTTGTGTCCTGCTGAGCCAAAGTCACAGGGCTACAAAGAGCATCCCTGGCTGAAGAGTGGCTCCAGACTCAGGGCAGTGGGAAAAGGTGAAACTGAGAGCTGGGCACTTGCAGGAAGTATTGAATGGCCACAAATGAGTGACCTCACTGGGAGCAGAACTGATGAAGTGCAGAAATGTGATGTGTGTTCCAAATAAAGAACTGATGAGTCAAGTTGTGCCCCAACTGGAGTGGGAGCAAAGTCAAGAGGGCTGGAAAATAACCTTGATTGTGGTGGAGAAGAAATATCAGTGGAGTTGTGGTGACCCCCAGGAGCCCCAGAGCAGCAGGGGTTGGCAGGGGGTGGATGTCTGTCCTTCCAGCAGTGGGGACCCTTTCAGCACTCACTGCTGCTGCAGCAATTATCTGGAGAGCCAAACTGATATCCCTCAAGTGGCATTCACGACCTCCTCTCTGCTCCAACAGTGCAGCTATTACTCATCCAGTCAAGTCCTTTTGTTACACAATAAGGAGAAAACAACTTCTAAATATATGATTTTAAATTGGTATCTTTATACTGCAAGACACAAACAGCTACTGCTGAATTATTTCTGACAGATACTAAGTTCCCATTTAATCTTTCAGGTTGAGGCATTTTTCTAAGCATGGCTCAGTAGGAAGTTAATTATAATCTTCCAAAACGGGAAGAATTTTCACCTGGGCTGATTAGGATACTGGTTTGAGGAATGGTATGTGGGCTCCTAGCTAAAGTTAGGCACTGGCAACATCTTTGGCTCTCTCTCACTGCAGAAGTAACACCTTCTGCTGTCACAAGAGCTACCCTGAAGATGGCGAGCACGATGATTTTGGATGCAATCAATCCCTTAAGTATTCATCATTGTTGATACATTTGCATATTGGAACATGATGGTGGTTTATTCAGCGCTCTGAGGCGAAATTTGCTCTGAATTCCAGTTGCATTTTTCAAGCTTGGTTTCAGCTTCAAGGATAAATCAGGTTTGAAGAACTATACTGGAGCAAGTTCTGGAAAAAGACAAAAGTATGTGAGATTCAGTTTTTTTAAAAAAAGGATCAATTGCTTGTGGTAGATTTGCCATCTGTTGGCGTATGCACGCTGCTGCAGTGACTTATTTCAGTATTTAATTACGTTTTCTGACTGCACTTGGCTCAGCTAACCTTGGGAGTTTCTATCAGAAATACAGTAGGTCATGTTTTCGTCAGTAGCTCTTGGAAAGAGATGAATTACCACAGAAATTCCTGTTGATGAGTCCTTAGGAGGAGCTTGGGCAAACCTGGGGGGGTTTTCACTGAGTCATTACGTGGAGGCTGCAGGACTCCTGCGGTCTCTGCTGGGCTTTCCTAAGCTCAGACTCCAACAGTGGCCACAAAGCCTGAGTGTCCATCCCTGCAGTGTTGCTCGTGGTGTAAAACCAGCCCCCTCCTTCCTCCATCCCTGCTGTGCCCTCCTGGTGAGCCTGTGATGTGCTCTGTGTCCCCTGTCATTTCCCACAGGGCCTGAGGAGCTGATGACTGCTCATTACTTTCCTTCTCTTTGTAATTTGTGCACATTACTGCCAACTATTTTATGTTTGTTCCAAATGAGCAGTGAAAATATGTGCAGAGAAACAGGAATTTCCCCACTCTTCAGCTGAGTGAGTGGCCGGCCCAGGAATGCCCAGCCTGGGGAACGGAGCAGTGCCAGGTGAGAAGGTGGAGGTGGGATGTACACCTGTGTGAAACCCCAAATGTGCCCAGGGGGATTATTCCCTCTCCCTTGCAATATAAAGCCAGGGAACACCAGATCCAGCTAAGCACCAGGCTCAGAGTGAGGTACTGTGGTGATAAGGATGGAATTTGTGAGGTGTTACAGTCACTGTAATTGTAGATATTCTGGAAAACTTTGGCAAACTGATGGAAGAAACATTTCTGTGCAAGATCTCACCCTTGGTTTATGAAACCTGAATTGCTTGAGCCTGAACACAAATCTGGAGCTGTATTTTTAGCTATTACTTACCCTATTTGTAGGTTCTGTCTGGCATCTGCTTTCCTGGCCAGCGTGGAGGGAGGATACTGCATCTTTAATTTATATTTTTCTTTGAGGATAGAGAAGAACTGAGATGTGTCAGTTGGCTGGTTTTTAGCATTCACTCAGTTTTGGGGGAAAAATATAAACTATAGGATATTTGATTGCAAAATGTATTTCAAAAGGAAGGAAAACGAAAGGGTTTTAAGTGAAAACAAGTATATACAAGCATGAAAAAGTCTAGTAGGATCTTCATTCACTGTGCCTATCTGCAGTTTTCATCTCCTACTGTCAAAGCACTGTGATCAGCAGACATAAATTCATTGTATTTTCCATATGGCTGAGATATTTCTTAAGCTCATTTTGGACAAATGTGGCAAAATTTGCTGCTAAGTCTGTCCTGTGGTTCCAAAATATGCCCCAAAATATGTTTGCTTTGACGGTGAGAATGAAATAGTAAATCTTTCTTAAGGTGTTGATCTGGGAGCATCATCTCCCAATTGGCTTCCTTTTTTTATCCCTAAGTGAGCTTTTAAAACCTTGCTACGGAAGCACAGAGATGAGATGGGGAAATAAAATGAAGCTGAGTGAGGGACTCACCACGGGCCTCTTCCCTCACACTTTGCACTGTGACATAACCACAGCAGAGAGGCTCTGGCTGCTCCCTTGTGTGAGTGACTCCTCTTCCTTCACACTGTGGGGCAAAGCACACAATAAACTGCTTAACGAGTTCACACTTTGTATTTGATACCACACCTCTGTGAATACACATACATCAGCTTGGCTTAGGTGCATATTTTAAATATCAGAATATGCAGGGTGGGATATGGACTCACACATTTCTGTTTCATATTCACACTAACAGCGTTGACGGGAGATTTTGTCATGATGCTGTTTCATAACTTATTCTGTATACAGATGTTTGGTATTGGGATATCAGTGTCTAAAATGATGAAAATTTTGCTGTATTTACCTCCCTAGGACTTGAGCAATTTTGTCTGTGTAGGAAAGTAGAGGATTTACACATTTTAGAGGCTGCAGCTGTCCCCCTGGGCCCACAGGAGAGTTCCCCAGGCTCTGTGTGAAGCAGTCCTTCCTCTGGAGCAGTCCTGGCAGGGACTCAGGGATATGAGGACACATTTTTGTTGCATCAGGACAGTTGTTTTCCCTCCTCGTAGGACAGTGAGTGGCACGAACAGGATGTGCTTTCTACCCACGAGCATTCATCCCCTCAACAGGGAAGGGTTGTGCTGCTCTGACTCTGGAATTGTGCTGAACTCGTTGTGCAACAGACTAAAGGTGAAATGATGATGAACTGGAATAAACTCGCCCTGAGGAATTAACTGTATCACCCCAAACCAGCTTCACAATCACTCCTAGAGTTCAGCTTGCCTTGAGCTGAATCCCCAAAGCCAAATTTGTACCTGTTCCCTTCCAGGGGCGTGACCAGAGTCGTAAAAGCAGAATGAAACAAGCAAGGGCATCTTCCTCAAATTTTGCTTTTTGCAGTCTCCTTCCTGAGCTCTTCCAGAGCTACCAAGGAAAGCTCTGCTAAATATTTTTATTTTTCCTTTCCTGGAAAACTTGCTGGGTGAATGAACACAAAATTTACAGGATTCTTCTGAAATAATCTTGTTTAGGGTAGCTACAGATTACCAGAAAACTGGAGAGGGAACGTCAGTCTGTAATTGGCCTTTCTGAGAAGTGTCCTGCTGGGAATGACGTGCAGGAAATGTGCAGGGATTTTTAAAATTCATAAATAAGCTGTTGTTCATGTGTGTGATTGATGATTTTCAGGGAAATTGAATAAGTAAAGTAAGTATGGATGCTGTCAGGTGGCTGCAGGCGCATAAAAGGGACAACTGAGTGCTTGGATTTCATGTTACTGATACTGAACAAGCTGAATTTTGGCTGCAGATCCAATTTATTACTATATTATTGTTACTTTTATTTTTATTTTTGTTCTTTTCCTATTAGGCTCAGTAAAATACTACTCCCAGCAACTTTACCATGCTGTAGAATTAATTTTGAAGTGAATCTATATTAAGAAACTAATTATTTTGAACCCTTCATCTAATCCAAGTCCCTCAGAGGTTCTCATGCTGCTCCTACAAGGACCTGCTGAGGGATGGAATGGGCAGAACCTGCTGAACAGATGAAGGTGCTGAAATGTCAGAAATATCCAGCTGCAAACATTGCAGGGATGTGATAGCCCCAGCTGAAACCTGGGCACCAAATGAGATCTGATACCCCTATGGCAGATTAGATGCTCTAGAAATAGGGGCATAAAATATCCAGGTAAATAATATGGAAATATTCATTTGAAACCCAAGACATGGGGCCCTGGTCCTCCTAAATCAGTGATTTGCTAATGTATTTTTGATGGTTTAGTTCTCTGTAAAAGAGCATTTGAGTGGGATCTTGCTAATTTTTACATTTCAGTGACATATTGTTGCCCTTTTCTTGAATGCCTTTTGCTTGTTTGGTTGTGAGACCTAGAGTAACAGAAATTCTGAATTTCCTTTTTCTTATATCTACATACATAATAATTTCCCTTTTCTAGCCTTTGACACAAATAACAATCCTAACTCCTTTAATTATTGCTTTCCTCTGAACTTCTCAAATCCCTGGGGATGCAGAATGCTTGTTTGCAGCCTGTTATTATTTGGAGCAATGGGAGAAGTCAGATGCAGGAAACAGCATCTGCCACAGGAGTTTCAGACACAAGTTCTTGTTGAGCACTCCCAGAACTTGGAAAAATCACTTCTCACTTGATTTTCTTTATATTTAAATTAAATTAAGTGCTTGATGGCACTGATGAAGTATGTACAGATCTAATCCCACAGAAGATTTGGCCACACCAGTGTCACAAGTAGAGGCACTGGGATATGACTGTGTTCACCAACAGCCTGCAAAGTTGTCCCTAGCACAACAAAAATAAAGTGACTCATCTTGAACAATTCTATATTTAAATCATAAATCCTCTCGAAATTAACAACCTGTGACTTTGCTCCTCCATTTTCTCACCTGATTTTTATTTTCTGAAGGACAAACATTCCCGGTATACACTCCAAAACATTTGTCTTCCATGGTTGAGGTCCAGACCCTTAAAAATAGGCTTTCAATGGAAATGCTGACGTGCCAGCTGGCTGAGGCTGCAGTGACACATTCACAACAGGCTTCAGCCACGGGGAACTGGGAATGGGCAGCTTTGGGGGACTGGGAATCGGATCTAATCAAGGACTGGAGCAGCACAGCATCCTACACTTGTCTGAGCATTGGTTGACTCCTGAGCCAAAAAAACTCAGTATGGAAAGTGTCTGAGCTATGGGGTGCACCAACTTGTTCCTTGTTTGTGCTCATCTCATCGAAATTATTTGGCAGTTAAGAATAGTTTGAATCTTCCTGTGCTTTATCTAGAGGGCAGGGCTTATTGATAAATCATACAGCACGTTCAAATACAAGCTGTCATTGAGGCAGCTTTTGACAGCATCATCTAGCGCCTTCCGACTCCTACAATCGAACGGCGAAGTGGGAATATTATTTTTCCACGCAGGCTCCTTCTCCCGCAGCGCTGCCGTGTTTCTCTCCGAACACACGCCCGCAAACAAAGGCGCCGGGGCCTGTTCGCTGTCAGCAGGCGGCTCCTTCTCGCTTCCCACGGCCGCCCGCGCTTCCGTCCCCACGCCTGGCGCCTGCGGAAAAACAAAACCAAACCAAACTTTTGGGTTTTTGTTTTTTCCCCTCCCCTCAGTCAGATCCGCGGGAGGAAGAGCCGCTGCCCCTCAGTGCTGAGCCCTGACAGTCCCGGCCATCCCTGTCCCTCATCCCCAGCCCTTTTATGGCCTTCAGCCCGGTCCCTCAGCCTTGATCGCCCTCAGGCCTGTCCCCAGTCTCGTCTCTCCTGGAATTCCCTCACCCCCGTCCCTCATCCCCGATACCCCTCATGCTGTGCCACTCACCCCAAATCCATCCACCCCAATCCCCCTCAGACCTGTCCCTCACCCGCATCCCCTCCATTCCCCATCCCCTCACTCCCAACCCCTCATCCCCAATCCCCTCACCCCAATCCTCCTCAGACCTGTCCTTCACCCCCAACCCCTCCATTCCCAACCCCTCCATTCCCAATCCCCTCATGCCCAACCCCTCATTCCTAATCCCCTCACCCCAATCCTCCTCAGACCTGTCCTTCACCCCCAACCCCTCCATCCCCAACCCCTCCATTCCCAACCCCCTCATGCCCAACCCCTCACTCCCAATCCCCGCATCCCCAACACCTCCATCCCCAACACCTCCATTCCCAACCCCTCCATCCCCAACCCCTCATACCCAACCCCTCACTCCCAATCCCCGCATCCCCAACCCCTCCATCCCCAATCCCCTCATTCCCAACCCCTCCATCCCCAACCCCTCCATCCCCAATCCCTCCATCCCCAACCCCTCCATCCCCAATCCCCTCATTCCCAATCCCCTCACTCCCAACCCCTCACCCCCAATCCCCTCATCCCCAATCCCCTCATTCCCAATCCCCTCCATCCCCAACCCCTCCATCCCCAACCCCTCCATCCCCAACCCCTCCATCCCCAATCCCCTCATCCCCAATCCCCTCATGCCCAACCCCTCCATCCCCATCCCCTCATTCCCAATCCCCTCATTCCCAATCCCCAATCCCCCTCAGCGCCGCGCCGCCCGCACTCCCGGTGACGTCACCGCGCGTCATTCCCCCCTCCCCATGCAGGGGATTCTCCGTCCCGCCCTGACGTCACCGCGGTGCGGCGCAGGCCCCGCCCCCGCGGGCCGCCATGTTGGGGGCGTGCGCGGGGCAGCGCAGCGCGGCGCCGCCCCCGCCGGCCGGCAGCGCCCGCACCCCGCGCTCCGCTCCGCGCCCCGCGCCGCTCCGCACGGCCCCCGCCAGCGGCCGAGCCGCCGCGGCCCCACAGCCGGGACATGGTGCCGTGCGCGCCGCTGGACGACGAGCCGCAGCCCTGCCACAAAATGGAGCTGTACGTGAGCGGCGCCGAGGTCAGTGCGGGGCGGAAGAGGTGGGGGGGGGGGATGAACGGGGCGGGCCGGCTCCGCGCTCCGCCGGCACCTGCGCCCGGCTCGGCCTCTCCGCGGCCCCTCCGCGCGGGGCTGCGCCGGCCTCGCCTCGCTGCCCCCTCAGCCCGCCCACATCCCCCGGCCTGTGCACGGCCGCGACCCGCGCCCTGCCCGGCCCGGCCCTGCCCGGCCCTGCCCGGCCCGCAGCCCCGGCCCCGCCCGCCCCCGCCGCAGCCCCGCGGCCGCCCCGGGCCCGGCCGTGCCCCCGGTGCCGCTGCCTCCACACGTGTCACGGCCCGCGCCCCGGGGAGGCCGGCGCTTTGTGTCGCCTCCCGGCTGCTTGGTGTCACAGGTGTCCCTCCCCACGTAGCATCCCAGGGGTTGTAAACTCGCTTTTATGGCCGCGAAAAGTTACTTTAAGTTCTGCTGGCAATTTGCTCGCGCTAATGGGGCTGCGCATCCAGGTAGGTTGGCACTACGGAGGTCCCTTTGCCTTCTCCTGGAATAACAATGCATTAATTACCGTACACGCAACGGCCTGAGAGAAGCAGGAGTGCCTGGCTGAGGTTTGGATGCTTAAACGTTGAATAACTAACTCTGCGTTAATTATCATAAACACGCCGAGCAGAGAGATCCAGGAGTGCCTGGCTGAGGTTTGGATGCTTAAACGTGTTAAAGAACAAGGAACGACTTCGAGGTATTGCTTAGTGCTCGAGGTGCTTCATCAGCAGGGAGCAAATGCAATTTGAAAGAAAATAAAAGGTAAAACTGGTTCTGTTGCAATGATTCCTGTGTCTCAGCAGAACGTGGTGCTCGAGTATTAAAACCCTTGCACTTTGAAATCGGCAGTGAAGGGTTGCGTATCAGGTATCGTCAGCTATGACAAATAAAAGATTACACCTAGGTCTGTTAGACACACAAAAGATGTTATCTAAACAAAGTTGCTTAAAACTGGTCAGACTTGCTTTTTGTCGTGCACTAGACTCTTACTGCAAGTGAAAAGGGTCTCTAGCAAAGCCATCTCAAAGTACAGAATGTGCAAGAGTGAAAGGATGTCCTTGTCTTGTTGAAATTTTTTTCCCTGATAAAAATGGAAAGCGAAAAACAACCCCAAATTTCTTAGTGCTTTTAATATTGGGATTTTAGTACCACTGCCAAGTACTGTAATTACTGGATATGCATCAGATAACAGAAAGTCAGCAGAAGTATTAAGGTTTATTTGTTCATATTCTTTATAAAAGCAATTTATTATAATTGGCGTATGAAATTTAGTGACAGTCTGAGACCTTTCTTGGTCCTGTTGATCAGTTCTTTAGAAAATGTTAGGAAATTATGATGTATCAGTGGTTTAATAATCAAGTGTAGAGTGTTGCAGCTGAACTGGGATGTGCATCCCTGGGTGTTTTTTGGCTGGACAAGCCCCCCCTGCCCCGCCAAGGGGAGCCAGCAGAGCCCAGGACAGGGGTGTCCAGCTGAAAGGGCTCTGTGTGTGTGTAACACCTGAAAGCTGTTTGTAACAGTCACTCTTTAAATTGTATTTCACAAGGTCTGTGTAAAGCTCCTCCAGTTGTGCTCTGATTAAAAGGAGATTAAATGGTGTTTGTTGTGTCCACCTTAGGTTTGGCCAGCAGCACTTAGAGCCCATTTGTGCCAAAACAGTTTCTTCAAGCTGAGTGTGAAGTTCCCAAATTACAGGAACAAATATTTGTGTTGCCATAACCCTTTCTATAAGTGATCTCAGGGGTGTGCTGCACTTCTCACTTGTTGGATTTCTACATCCACGTGGCTTGGGGATTCAACAAAGGTGTATTTTATGTCAAAGTGAATTTTAGTGTGGCCTTTCACTTAAATTTCACAGAATTAGGTATAGCTCATAGTACTCATTACAGCTTTGCATTGGCAGTCTGAGAGATCTCTGACCTTGGCCTTGCTGGAACTACAGTCAACAGAGCTACTGTGAAATAGGTTTTTATTTTGAAGATTAACTTGTGCCTTCTGGTGCTCTTGTCCATTAGCCGTGGCAGAGGAGGAAAAATGCGAGGAATGGTTTTCTCTGAGGACTCTACTTGTTGACTAAATTTAGGATTATGTTATTTGCAGTAAGTGCATTTCCTGTAGCACTTGTGTTGACTTGGAGTAAAAACACCTGGCAAGGAAAGGAGGTGATCTTGAAAGTAGGAAACAAATTTTCATTCTTCAGGTCACAAGAACAACATGAACTTTTGGAAGAAGTTGTTGAAGGTCAGGATTGAATTATTTTTCCTTTTTTTGGGGGGGATGGGTCTTTGAAGTGCTGAAGATTTGGGGCTGTGCACTGTTCCATTCGTGTGTTTATATTCCTGTGACAGTATCACCTGTGAAACTGTTTTGTGACTCTGGGAATTCCTTAAGCCTAGGTAGGAAGGATCAATGTTGCGCTGTTAAAGCTTCAAATATTCAGTGAGCTTCTTTCCCCCTGGATATTGGATTAATAAGTATTTCCATGGTAATAAAAATAGGTATGAGAGTGTTGATCATAATCAAGTGTTGTAGATAGTGAAAATGTAATTACAGTCTACAAAGAATCAGGGAAGTAAACAATAGCATTTTACTGACCGAGCTGAATGGAATACAGAAATTTGGAATTTGAAATACAGAGTTGGAATTGAACAGGATACAGGAATTTGGGCACTTTGTGCCCCTTGAACTGGGAGGATTGCACTTACAACTCTGTAATTGCTGTAAGCACATGCTGTTTGCATGACATGAATATTGTGAATTGCATAAATGCAACCTCTTCTCAACTACTTATTTTTGCAATAAATACTTCAGGAACCAATTGCTTAATTGCCTGATTGTGACAAGCAAGACAAGGCTGAAGCAAAAAAAGTGACTGAAAACTAAAGTATTCTGCTGGAAAACGGGGCTGCATCGAAAGTTGCTGCCCTCCAAAAGGATTTTTCATGAGCTGAGCTCTGCTGCTGTTGTGCATAAGCTGCTGCCTTTGCCAGTTGAAATAAATACATCTCTGATTTTGGCCAGTGTTTTCAGTCCATCCTCTGGAGCACGTTCTGAGCCTGGTCTGTGAAAGGCCACTGAATTTTGTCAGTGTTAGGAGTTGCATAACTCCTTTGTGAGTAATTACTGGCAGTGACGTGGATGACTCAGCTCTACCTAGTTCAGTGCATCCCTCCCAATCTCCACAATCGGCTGGTGTTCTCTTGAGGAGAGAAAGTAAAACATTGCCCCTAATTTGAGTGCCCTCAGCCTTTGCAATAATGTGCAGATTTTGTAAAGATCTTGGAGAACAAGTTGCCTTTAACAAAAAAAAAAAAGTATGCACATTAATGCTCTTAAAGGGAAAACAATGAGTGTCTTTATGCATTGAGAAGTGCTGCAATACAGTAATAATGATGGTGGGTTTGTATACCACTTCTGAAATTAATTTTGGAGATCTGCTGTAGTATTCTGAGGTCTCTGACAGGAAACAGGTGGCTCACCTTGCGTCCTGTGGAGGCACTTCACAGTAACCCTAAATCCAAAGATGGTATTTGTTTACTCATCATAGATAGAATTCTGCATTAAGAAAAATATTTGAAATAATTGCTTTCCTCAAGTTTAAATCTTACCCTTTTCCAGAATTGCCTGACATCAGAAATGATTTAGAGACTGGCTGCTTTTATGCCCTTTGATTCTGGAGTTAAGATCATGTACCCAGGCAGGAAAGAAAAGATCTCAAGTCGTTTGCTAATTCAGTGATCCCTGTGCTTGGGGTCAGCTTTGTGTCTTGTCAGAGCTATAACTTGTTGGAGGTGCACGTAATTCTCCCTTGATCTGATAATGGGAAAGATCAAAATGTTCTTTTAAAATCACTAATTATATGTTGCTGAAGGTTTGGTGTCCTGTTTGAATGTATGATTTGCCACAGGAAAAGAACTTTGTAGCTCTCCCTAGCAATTGATTATGGGTTTCAGGTGTTTTAGATTGCTTTATC